TCCATTGAGGCTTTTAATTCAGCCTTGACTTTTATAAATTCATTTAACGTGATTCATTCAGGAGACAGTTTATGTCCTTCGTCGCAAGAGGGCGTTGCTCCTCATACTCGGAAATTTTCCTTGTCTTCGTCAAAATTTTCACCGGTAAGGGATGTCTTAAAAACATCTTGTCCTGTCAACCAATCAAATCACGTTATGCAAATACGCGCTTCAAATTTCTCACCGAGTGAGGGCGTTGCGTTATGCTGTTCAAGTGTTGACCAATCAGAAACGGGTATGCAAACTAATATTCGTAGACCGGTATCGCTCGCTCCAAATCATTGTCTCCGACCTGAATTGCTAAAAAACAGTCATAACTCTTTCTTCTCATCTTTTTCTTATACAACAACTCATAGTCACATCATGAACTCCTCGAATCCTATTCTACCACCAGATACTTAACCCCAACCTACTGCCGACGACTTACATTCTACACATATTCATCCCCCTGACTCAAAACCACTACTTAACTCGACGGCGGAACAGACTGACCTCCTCTCATTTGTCGAAAACTTTCCCTTGGGTTCCCCGAACTTCAGACGACCAAGCCCGCGTCCCACAACAAAATCTCGTCAGGTAGGACGAATCTCTCGCCTGGATCAGGTGCGACAGCATAATCTGACCCGGGAGCGTGCAGCGAAAACTCGTTTTGTTGCCGCTAGGACCGTCTCCAGAAAGGAGGGACACAGCCAACTATTGGAGGCTATGAGGAGGTGCCGCTTATCGCGACCGGGGAAAATTCACACTGCTGCCAAAGTTGGCGTGTTTGCTGTTAACGGAGTTAAACTAATTTTCTCAAAGTCTAAAAAAGAAATTGTGGGTTTACCAGGCTTGTTCGACGCCAATCTTTTAGCGGAGCTCACGGTGGAAGATCGTTTCCTGGGCCCGATGAAACCGGCTATTATCAATAAGGATGTTACCAACTTCAACAAACTCGGGGCCTATATGGCTCAATTCTGGCCCAAGGCAGCCGTTGTCCATAATTGCGTGACAATTGACAACAAGTTGGCAATTTATTGAAGCTTTAAGGCAAGCTGTTCTCGTTCGTCTTCATCGGTCTCATCCCGGACAAGAGGCCATGATGTCAGCCTCAGAGCACATTTGGTGGCCGTTTTTAAACCGACAGATTGTCGACACCTGTGAGAAATGCCGCGAATGCAAGTTGTATGGTAAGAACCTTAAGCCTGTAAAAATTTTTCATACCGCTCAACCTTTACCTAACTTAACGGGCCAAATTAGGAATTGCAGTTAGATTTTGCTGGTCCTATTTTGGATGACAAAGGTGTGAAGATATTCCTTTTAGTAGCTAATGATCGGTTTTCGAAATTTCCTTCTGTTCTTATTACGAAAACTACTGGGGCTAAGAAGGTTACTAAATTCCTTGAATCTTACATCCGTATTCATGGCTTACCTCATTCTATCAGGACTGATCATGGCTCTGGGTTTAAAAACGATTTAGTACAACAATTTTGTTCTAGTAGAGGTATCAAACATATCCTTTCACCCGTTGGAGACCATAGAGGTTCTGGTCTAGTTGAACGTATGATACAGACTATTAAAACGCAAATTGGGCACGGCGAAACTTGATCCTAATTTTGATAATTTTAAAGAAATACTCCATCAGATAATTGAAGACATTCGCAAGAGTAATCATTCTGTACTTAAGAAGTCGCCTTTTGAGTTGCATTTTGGACGTAAGCCAAATATTGAATGGTCACAGGCTTTTCATAATGTCGTTAATTCTGATACTTCAGCACAAAGACTCGAGCGCAACCTCTTAACGCCGGATCAAATTGCTAGCCAGGACTACAGTCGTGATCGTGCCAAGGTGGTGCCGAGAGGAAGTGCCAGCCCTCCGGTTGCCCCACGATTCAAACCCATGTTTTCTCTGGAGGGTAATATTGCTGAGAGTGAGCCTTACAAAGCGCTAACAGATCTTGCTCGGGCGGCCAATAAATGGACGCAGTATGAGAGAAACCTTCCGCCGGATGGGGGCAAACGAGTCTTTCAAGAGTTGTCGAGTCGTCACTCAGATTTGGCTCATTCGCTCAAAACAGGCCTTTCCCGCAAAACACTCTGTTTTACGGAGGATCGATCGGGTACCACGCCCCCAGGGGCTCAGGCCAGTTCCCGTCGTTTACCGACTCTACAACCCCGTCGTCTGTTAAAAACAAGTAAATTGGAAACCCTTCTTATATCCGATCCTAGCCGTGTTAGAGTAGTTAGGAAAATTATAGATCGTCAATCCGGCAAACCTCTTTTTAAGCCTGCAAAATTCAAGATTACTCACATTACCGATCACACTTATGTTACTGACAAAGGAAAAGTTTATCGAAAAAACCATGTTTGTCTTAAGCCTAACTTCCGTAATAACATTTCAGCAACTCAAAGCACATTAGGTGATCGCCTCCAAACACCAGGACCGACTTCACGCAGTGTGTGGGCAAAAGACCACTTACTCGCTTCTCTCAACCAACTCTGTTAGAGAAACGCCCGGATGACCCTAGCGTATCACAGCCTATGGTGGTGGATCTCACAGCTGACTCGTCTAGTGAGGGCTCGTCAGGCCAGAATACTTTGCAGGTGGTTCGCGAATCTACCCCAGTGGAGAAGCGACCAAGGCTACAGGACAATTTGCCGCCAGTCACGTTTGCTGACTTGTCTTCTACTCCGAACCAGTCTCAAATGGATACAATTGTCTCTTCCCCGCCTATCACACAGTCTGTTAATCCTACAGTAGTGAATGCCCGATCTGAGATTTCTCTACCTGCTGATGTCTCTTCCGAGGGTTTTGTTCAACCTGCACAACATGTACCTTCAGAATCATATTCGTCATATCCTTCGCTTTCTCTCCCAGCTCAGCCTGTAGTTGATGACTCGGAAGCTGTCAGGACTTCATCACGTAGCAAGAAGGCTACGCAATTCTTTGGGGATCCGTTACGGCACTCCGTTAAAATTGTGGAAGAGGATACATTATTGGGGGAGGAGGCTTGTGATTTACCCTCTCAGAGCATTTTACCGTCCTCGCATTCTCCTAGACGACCGCTTATTTGTGACCGACCACAACTGGTTCCGCCGGAGTTGTCATTCCCCTCATTGATCAATAAAACTCAATGAAAATTGAATCTCCATCTAGTAAACTATCCAAATTTTATACAATTTTTATTTTTACCACCCTGCATTTTTGGGGGATAGGGGGTGCTATCTATCTAATGCCAATCTGGGTGCAGTTTGTTGATAACAAAATTTTTGATTTCTATTTCAAAAATTTTCCCTTCCGCGGGGAATGTCATGAGGTGACCTTCGGTACCTCGCTTACTTATTGCCTTTTTGCAGCTATGCTGCTGATTTCACTGCCAGTTGTGTTCAAGGCCACCGGCTTGGCCTATGTTTAGTGTCACGCTGTGCGTGGTCACTCTGTTGTTTTGATACATCGTTTGCTAGATGTATATTTATTCTGAATCTTATTCTATGGTTCTTCTTAGTCAGAGCTTGACTAATAAATATTTAAATTGAAACCAAGAATCGAATCAACTAATTTATCAATTCATTATTACGAACAACCAAGTTTTGTCCTTTAAATCTCGACAAATGTCAGGGTTAAAGTTTTCTAAAAATTTATACACGTTCTATGTGCTGTTAAAAATTGCGGTATTAGGGTTTGTGTTGTTGGTTTGATGAAAGTTTTGGATATTGTCGTCAACCTAGTAACCAAAACAAATGTTTTTCTAATCAACTGGTTACCAAAGACAGTTTATGTAAGTCTCGGGTGGCACCCAAAGCATTTCTTAATAGACGATAAAAGTCACCTCAATTATTACGGGTCGATGAATTATCTGCAATCAATAATGAGAATTGTTGTTGAAAGGTTTGGTTTCTGGTGTTAATGAAAAAAAAGTTGACCATGCAAAAAAATTAACTTTAACTTACAATTTCCGCTTCAAACAAAATTAAAATCAGATGACTCTTCAGTTTTTTAAGTTCATTGACACTTAAATTTGTCTATCGCCGATGTTGCATTTTTTGCCGTTTATTTATTTGATTCAACCTACTCTGTCTGCCTTAACCCTTACTCTTAATTGAGAAATATAAATGTCCTCTTTTCGATACGTTTCATTAAAAATGGCACAGCTCATTCATATATCTTCTCACGTGCTGATTTTTCTTACTAACTTGCTTCGCATTAAACTGTTGCTTTTGTGTTCACTTCTTACGATTAATTATTTGATAATAAACTTTGCAATTTTTTTAGACCTTGTTGGAAAGACAGCTTTTTGCGATAAGTTTACTGCAGAGTAAGCTCTTTTTATCGATATGTTTGCTGGATGTATGCATGAGTCGCAAAAAGATGCTTCCTTCATACATGGTTTGCTATTTGGATGTCTTCATGACCAATTTAAGTACATGTTTGCTTGTTTTTTAATTTATAAAATGTATCATGAGTTTTCGTACAAGTTTTGATGTTTTTACAGATTCGCATGGCCTTGATCTCTGATTTTATTTGTAGTATTTTAACTTGTTTTCATTTCTATCAAGCCGACAACATTTGAAAAATTGGTAGCCCCGTTTCAAAAAATTTTCAATGAAACTTAAAAACCCCTAGTGCTGGCGCAGCTAGCGACTGTATGTATGTATGGGTCGCTAATCGATGCATCCATAGTACGTGGCTTTCTATTTTAGTATTGTCACGAATCATAAGAACCTTGTGTCCAGCTAGAAGTTTTTTTGCGATCTTGCAAAATTATGTTTAACCTGAATTATGGTTATCTTGCAAGAATCTTGCAAGATCATGATAAGATATACATATATCTTGTCAAAAACTTGCAACATTACCATTGGCTATCGACTAGGGGATTCACTTATAATTAGGATTAGAAAATCACGCTTTCTACTGAGCTCAAAAAATACAAGTGGAAAACAAAACCTCTAGCATTTTCGATTTTTTTTCTGATCAACTGCATGTTTCATTAGATTTTAGATTTATGCCTTCTTAGCTTTTTGCAAGGGCATTTTTTCCAGTTCTAAAAAGGAGTTTTCCAAATTTTTTCTATATGTGGCAAAATTTCCACATATGCTAGTCATACAACTTCCATATATGAAAAAAAAGCTAGCCATACAATTCTCATTTGTGCCCATACCATTCCGATATATGAAAAAATGCTAGTCATTGAAATTTCATACACTTTTTCAAAGGGAATCTATGGATAAATATTTCAGTGCGAAAAAATAAACGCTTGCTTAAAATTTTGTGAAATTCATTAGTTAAAACGCGATTGAACAAATGAGCATGCTGCTTCTAATAGTTTTGGTCACTTATTTTCTTCAGGTACAAATATTTGTTTTAGGGACCCAACTATCATAAATGTAGCCTTAACTCAGCGTGTGTCCTTAGCCTTTGCCGCCCCAGCTGCCTTGCACTCTTCCACTTCCTTTCCTCTTATTCGGACTTTGAGAGCTTTTGAAGAATTTATTGATCGGTGGCTGTGACGGAGATAAAGTCGAACTGACACATTCATCATCTTTCTTGGCAACTTTTGTATAGCGTTCGATATACTTGTGAATATCGAACTTCCTTTTACAACCTTCGAAGCTCATCCACCTAAAACAGAAAGTCATCCATGCCATAAAATCAGTTTTCTTGACAACTTCAGACGCACGAGGATGAAAGAATGAAACTGATTCTGCAAAAAAGTCAATAGAAAAATGTTGCCTTGAAATTCTGAAATTTCATGCTTCATCCTCTCAAAAATCTGAAACGCTCATTCGGCAGTAGGAGGCAAAGCATCTTCTACCATTTTTTATTCTATCGATAAACGACTCATAGGTGTCCATTAACAGTGCTTAAAGTCTGATCACAACTTTATTCAAAGACCATATATTTGGACCTTGGGAATTGAAACGATGTGACCAATTTGGTCGGTATTTTAAAAACATAGCCATCACTAAGTTGGAAAAAGTGTCAATGAATTCAAGGAAACCGAAAACAATTGATCGAATTTCATCTTTCGAAGAAAAAACACCTCGTGTTAAGGTTTTTTGAATTTCAAGAATCCTTTATGACTGGCACTTCATAAAACTAACCCAATTAGAGAAAAATGGGTCAATAGAGATTTTTTTATACCGCTGCGAAATCTATGAACTAAAATCCAATTTAAAAAAGACTCGCATTTTAGTTTTACGCCGTTGCAATTTCCAAACTGAGGGGCTTAGTTTGCCTTCCATTGAGCAATTTAATTTGAATTGAATTGAACAAGAAATCAACAGTCAAACCGCGATAAATCAAATTTGATCGGGATTAATTTTTAAAATTTCTTCACGCAAATAAACAGTATCAAAAAACCACCCAGCTTAAATAAGTATCAACACTTCACTGATTGAGTCTCAACACAGAGGTGAAGCAGAGCTTCGCACCACTTGGGATACAACACAAACATAAAAAATCTTGTTTCTCAAAAAAAATAAGTGAGAAGATAGAATTTTTTCAAAACCAAAGTAGCATTTGTAACAAAACAATGAGTCGCCGCTTCAGTAGAAAAAAAATTCGCAACCAATTCTTTCAATGGAACCCTTCATCTCAGATTTGATAACGAACATTTACCTCAATTTCAAAAAACGGTTTTAAGTTCAAGAACACGGCTTTCCGAACTTCATAAATGTTTTTCGCAATACCAGTTTATTCAGAGAAAATTTCCAGAACCGGGATTCTCAATTTATCAATTTATCTGAGATTAGGCAGGGTAGTTTCCGAGAAAAGTTTACAAAATAACGTGATTCAAAAATATGACTTTTCCGAAAAATCTAATTTTTTCTGTAAACAAGATTGAGCGTATCGGTTTTTGCAAAAAAGATTCACACAACCTGTTATTTTGATTGAACCTAAACATCAGATTTGGCAGTTCAGCTTTCGAAAAATCAAACAGTTGAAAAAACGGTAAAAAATAGCAAAAACTATAAAATAGCAAAACCTGACTTTTCGTAGGGTCATATCTCTTTGTTTTAAAAAAATGGACATAGCCGCTTATGGAAGGGAGCTTCCCAAAATCCATAATTTGAACTGAATTCAAGATCTCATTTTTGGGTGGATAGTTTGCGAGAAAAGGCCAAAAAATTTATAACAAAAACTGTCAAAAAATCAAAAATTTGAATTTTCCGATGGCGACAACTTTTTGCATGAAAAAAATTGGGAGCGACTGCTGAGGCAGTGCAACGTTCCAATACACATTCTTTTCATTCAGCAAATATATTTGTTGTCATGAAAAACTTTGAACTATCAATTTTTGTCTAAGAATTTTAGAATTTTGTGCGATCCAGAATAAAGAATATAACTTATGTTTCCCTTAAAATGACCCCAAAATAGATCACAAAGCCGATAAAGTATAAGCCGAAATCATTTGAGCCGAAAATAGTTTTAAAGCAAAAAAAACAAAAAACTCAAAATATACGAATCAAGGCTAGTAAAATTGAAAATTGCAGGAGTAATTCATACAATGAAAATTGCGTACAAAAAATCACTTCTACGAGGTGTTAACTATGCCGACGAAATATAAGCAGACAAACTATACACCGACATTTTTTGGAAAGTAATATTTCTGTTTGAAAAAAAAACTGTTCCTGGTCAGATTCGAGCAGGAGGCATAGAAGTTTGAATTCATTATAAAGAGTGTACCAGAAAACCACTTTAGTACAAGCGATTCAGTTAAACAAGTTGTAAACCCGAAAAAAGTATATTCCGGTATGGAAACGCTTGCTAATCGCAAGCGTAGACAACTTGTATTCATCTTTTAGAGCCTGTTTTGTGAAAAACCTTAAAACAGATTAAGTGAACAAATGCAAACATATTAAGTTCTTTTGCTGAGTGATTGCCAAAATACTCCTCATTACCTTATCTTTCCCACCACATCTCTTTCGCCCCATTTGGGCGGGTCATGCACTCCAGCTATGGACCACATCACACCAGCAAAGCCATTCGGATCAGCTCCATCCAGACTGTAATGGTCGTTCAAGTACAGTGCAATTTCCAGGGCATCTTCCGGACTCTTGCTCCATTCCAAAATCTTTTTAGCCCAATACATTCGCATGAATCCGTGCATTTTGCCGTCCATTTTCAACTGCAGTTGAGCTGCATTCCACAAATTATCGTGCGTTTCTGAGTTTTCAAACTGCTCTTTTGTATAGACATATTCACGCTGGTCGTTCTTGTGTTTCTCCAGGGACTCTTGCGCCCATTCTGGCGCGCCTTTCAAATTATCATAGTTTTGGTTATAAAAGCAGTAATTATCTGACATTTCTTTCCACGTGACCAACTCGTCAATGAACTTTTTAACCGAATCTGAATGCGTTTTTTCGAACTTTTTGATTTCAATGGTAACTCTGTGAGCACTTATTTGTCCATAATGCAACCATGGCGAAAGGTTTGAAACTGCGTCAACAGTTGGATCGTTTCTCTGTTCACCGTAAATTTCCAAAATCTCTTTGATAAACTTTTCGAACCTTTGCAGACACTTTTTCGAACCCGGTTCGGCCCAATCTACAGCTGGAACTGATTCGTCAACAGGCACTGAGACCTTCGCCTTTTCCCAATCTGTTTCTGGAAAAATGTCACTCGTTTTAACTGGATGAGGTTTCATTTTTGGAAACTCGGTAAAAAACTCGGGAAATTTGGCTTCGACTTTCAAACGTGTTTCGTAGGCCCTCGGTTCTTGTTTGAATGAGAGTTCCCACGCCGGAATTATGTTATGAGCATCAACTTGATACAAACAAGCATTTTGCATTTTTGAAATTTCATTAGATAAAAATTCGATCTGAGTCTTGTGAGGTTTGAGAGGACTGAAATCGCAGACAATTCCATTGACGGTGTATTTTTTCATAAAACCTAATATTCTTTCGAACATTGGCAACTGGGTCTCCGATAAAAGATGAAACTGGATGCCCAGATTTCTACACTCTTCCTCGACCTCCTTTAAACCTCCGAGTGAAAAGTCGATAGCTCTTCTAGTAGCTTCTGGACTCTCTGGATGTTTGCTGTTCAAGCCCACAATTACATAAAAGGGCAAGTTTTGCTTGATGGCCCAGTTTTGCGCAAAAGTAGCCGCCCAGTTATCTTCCATTCTTTGGTCTCTGTGAAGGTAATAGGCCACCCCCTGTGACCCCGAGATGACCTCGTGACCTTTTCCAGCCAGGAGGCGACACCTCTTCATGTTGAACTCCGTGTACTCTTTGACAGAGCAGAACATAGCCTTCTTAAGGCTCTGCTGCATTATTCCTAGAATATCTCTACCTTGTCATTTCTGTCACTTTTGTAGAGTTACTCTGATTTGAACTGCAGATAGGGTTCTATGGTGGGAGATCTTTCACCATGTAAGCAATAACATAAGCGGTGCCTAGCTACACGTTTGGTAGATACAAACAGTCTCATTCTTACAAACAATTCGTCAAACTCTTTCTTTACCACCGTTTATTTTTGAGAAGCTGTCAGACAAAATTTATCTGATATCATTCGACACAAAAACCACATTTTACAACTGATGTCTCCAGCTAATACAAAAGAGAAGTGTGATCTAAAATGACTAGCACAACGTGTTCTGATACAATTATCATTGAAATAAAAAGACAAAATTCTAGATGCCGAAAGTTTCGAAAAGCGAAGCGGTGCAAAAGTTTGCTACTAGCCAATGCCACTTGTAAACCAAATTACCCACTCATTTTTTGACCAAAATTTGTCAATTATTATAATTTGTGTGAATTTCAAAGTGATGTTTCTTGAATTTGGTTGATCTTTCTCTGAGGCAAACCTGAGTGTCTGCAAAAATATATGCAATTTCGTTGTGCAAAATAATGTAATGAGGGAATGATTAACATAACAGTTTGCCTCGCTGAATAAATCGAAAATGCAATCAAAAACTGACGCGCCTGTGAAACTGATTAAGATTTCAAATTTCTGAACCTTAAGAAATAGCAGCTATACTCTGAAAAAATCTGAAAAACTACTTGAAAAAATACATGAAAATTACTTGAAATATATTTAAAAAATTACGAAAAAAAAAATTGAAAAAATAAAAGTTAAACAGCTACAAGAATTTCACGCTTGTATAGAAAGAAGCCCATAAATAGTTTCGAAAGAATCGCAAATCAATAACTAAGCTTCAACAAAAATTTGGTCGAAACATGTTTGAGCAGAAAACAAAACTGTTGTCATAAAAAACTTCATTATGTTTTGAAAAATTTTACGAACCATCCAATCTGAAACATACAATCGCATGCTAATATATTTGCCCTCAAAATTAATCAATAAAAGTTGACTGAGCCGAAACAACAAAAACTGAAGCTATTTATATATTTAAAAAAGAAACGGAAAAAAAAATATATCAGACTGGCGTTTAAAGAAAAACGGAAAACGAACCGACAAAAACAAGGACGAAAACTACGAACCCGAAAATTTACACAAAAACTTTGAAATTTGAAAAAAACCTAAAACGGTCTTTACCTAGTTACTACATAAATTAAAGTAGTTTTAATCGAATTTTCAAGATATTGAGCATTTTACAAGATGAAGGATTCCAGGAGATATGAATTGAGTCCTGTGAACCAAGTTCTTAACGAGAAAAAGTCTAGAACCCAATTGTAAAACCCTTGCTTATCGAACGGGTAATTAGGTCTGTAAAAAAACTTCACGCAAGTTATCGTCTAAATTCAGTTACTTTCTGATCGTCTTATTTACGTGTCCAACTTTCTAAGCCTCGTTTTTCCGTTTAAGTCTACAGGCAAATTTTTCATTAGTAATATGGAAAACAGCGCACCTAGAACAGAGCCTTTTGGTACTCAAACAGCATAGTACCGAAAATTATAACTTTAAAAGTTGCTCAGATGTTCTCTCTAGCCCGGGCAGTGTTTTAGAACTAAAACTGACTGATGTAATATATTAAATGAAAGTTTCAAATTTACTAATGTGTGTTGTTACCATATTAGGTAGTATTCTTACTTTCGTGAGCGAGACAATAGCGTCTACTGTTCCTCATTTATTGCACAATCTTTCAAAAGAAATTAGTTTTTGCAAGTACTCAGGAAAAATTCCTTTCTCGAAGCACTCATCGTATATAGTTTCAAGTAATTCAGCTGTTCACTTTGTGTTCTAAAAAATTTTTCTTACAATTCTGCTCCATATTTGTTCTTTGAGCTAGAAATTGCAATTAGAATAGCATCTTTTTGAGAAGATCATTGATTTAGGCTGCTCGGTGAAATCAATCAGTAATGAACTGATGTTGTATTTGGTTTATACACTCCTAATTGTTGCATTAATGAAATTAACTCGGCTTGGTATCTCAGTATTAGCTTTCTGTTCTAGAATCGAACTTTTCACAAGTACTAACAAAAAACAATTTCTATTAAAAAATTGTGCAATAAATGAGCCACAGAAGACGCTATTGTATCGCTGACGAAAGAAAAAACAAAATAATATGATAGCAACACACATTAGTTAATGTGAAACAATCATTTGACACAGTATATCAGTCCGTTTTAGTTCTAAGACACTGCACAGGTTGTAGAAAACATAAAAACACAATTTAAAGATAAAGTTTTTGGTACTATATTGGGTGAATGTATAAAAGAGTGAAATTATCACATGGCTCAATTCTAGGTCCAGTGTTTTTCATAATACATTTGAAAATTTTGCCTATATACTTAAGCGGAAAAAACTGAGCTTAAGAATTTAGACAAGCAAATTACACAATCAGAAAGTAACTGAATTTAGACAAAAACATGCCAGCAAATTGCGTGAAAATTGTTTTCAGACATTATTTAACTTTCAGTTGGGTAAACACTGGTTCTCCAACCACAAATCAGATTAGTGATGTCACAATTATATTTTTAAAGCATTTCAAAAATGTATCACATTAGTCGATTTAAGGTTTTATAATCAATTAACAATAATATATTTGATCAGTTGTGCTTGCTCGCTTTATTCGTGCAAATAGAGACTATAATTCAAAAATTTTAAACCTGTTTTTCTTGACACTAGAAGAACATTTTGATATTTTCTAATATTTGAATGTTTAAGTTTCTGTTTTTCACGTAAAATCAGGCACCACAAATAATGATCAGAATGGATCTACCAATCAGAATGGATCTGGCCAGAATTTTTTAAAAAACTTAATACTAAAAAAAATAGAAATTCAAAAATTGTTTGATTTTTTTTCAAGACAACTGTTGTCGATTTTGCCTAAACCACTAACTTTTTACGCGTGTGTATAACTTTATTATCACATCACGAACAGAAAAACTTTTTCAACGACACTAACTTGAAAAACTTTCATTTATTATTTTTATGAATTTGGTCGAAACATTGTGCTACTTGCACAGCAACCGGCTATCCTTATTTATTATTGGCCTTAAAAAGAAGTTAAAATATAACGATCTCTAGGAACGGCGGGATTTTTCCGGGAAAAGACACTTGGCGGACAAGAAATATCCATGAGAACTGTCCTCATTTAAGATGAGTTCACCTGCAACGAGCTTTTCTAACATGCTTTCGAGGAAATCTTCAAGAAAAATCAACACGGTAAATTAACTATCCTTCGCTATAGCGGTGCTTTCTCATTCATGGACCAGCGCAAATATTTAAAAAATGTCTTCCAAATTTTCAATAGCGTTATCATTCCTATAATTGATCAAATGGTACGAAAGTATACCAATCTTGAAGGTTTATCAAAAGCATACAAATCTTGAATAGTTTATCAAAGGACCAGCGGCTCAGAGGCAAGAGAAGTGCCTGCCTTCCTTCACGTTGCTGGATTGATTCTCGGAAAGATTTTTCTCGGGATATTTACCTGTAATAAAATAAACACAGCAATTATTCATCGCCGAAAAGCTGTTGATTTTTTGCGGCGCTGATTCAGTACAAATTCAAGACTAATAATTTCTAGAGTTGTAATGAAAAAAATGCCACTGGATGATGTTCGCAGTTTTTGCGCATCAAGAGCGCTGATTTTCAAGAGATGTCAAGCCCGTTACGAATATAAACAACAGAAACTTGCGAATGAAATTAATGATAGCACGAGAAAATTGATGCAAGGAAATGGATCCCCACAAACTGAACAAAAATTAAAAAAAAAAACGTTTAACCGATTCTAGGAAAATTCAAAAAAGGTGTCTCAGTGTCAAGAAAAGCCAGTATGAACATTTTCGATTAACAGACCCACTTGAAGACGCTGAATTTGTGCCCAAATCAATTCTATTTACACAATTTTAGATGCAATTAAACCTTACTTTCGCAGTTTTTATCTATTCAATTCCTCTTTACTAAAAAATCAACAAGAATTTAATTTGAAATGAAATTGAAAAAAATATATATTTTAATTAATTCATTGAAGTCGGAACATTCTCTACTATTGCAACAACCGGTCATCCTTATTTTCAATCAGCAAATATTGGCATTTTTTCTCACGCATACAATTGCGTTAGATTTAACACCAATATGATTGGGCAAACACAACTAATCACACCCATAAAACAAAACAAAAAACATTTTATCGTTGGGTCAGTTTTTTGAACGATCTTTTTTCTCTTGTACACAAGCTTCAAAGTTTCAAGGCACTGAGCCGGTTAAAATTTTACTTCATCTAACATCCCCGCAACAATCCTTTGATTAACAACAACTGATTGATTTTGGCATTTGAAAGCGAAGCGTCTTCTATATTTCAAAAGGACTGAACTAGATCCTTCAAATTGTATTTTGATGCGCTTCATCACTTGAATACTAAGAACGCAGGATCAACTTCCTCCTCAAGCGCTTTATCACCCAACTTGAGCAGTGGCAGAGAGTCCTTCTGATTTCGTATGTACAGTTTTTGCTATTTCAAAAAATTGCACCTTTTGTTTTAACACCTACGGTGCTTCAATCAGATAGTAGAGCAAACTCTAAAATAAAACATCTAAATTGAATGCAAAAAGAGGCTGAGGGCATCCAACCACGCTTTCTGTTTTCTAAAAAGAATTGTAAGAAATAAATTCAACTTCTACGTTTCCGACTTTTTTCACTACAAGACAGATAAAAAACAACTTATTTTCTGATCCGCTTTATTAACAAAGAGCCATATGCCGAAACCGCTCGACCCTAGAAAATATTAGATGACAAAAACAATTATTTGAAAAACAAAAAAATTGCACTCTTTCAAAAGGGATTTCCGAAACAAAGGCTGGTAGCATCCAGAACTTTAATAATTTAAAGGAAAAAGTCAATTGAAACCAGGTTCCTGAAATTGAAAAAACTTTACAGAGAAGCGAAGAGGAAATCATGTCTTTTTTTCAGACTGAAGTCGTTTTTTGTGCATGAGATAAAAAGATCTTGCGAAAGCCTATAACTTCAGCATATTCCACAGTGACGGTAAAATAGACTAATTGTTCAACAATTTTTATCAAAAAAGACAGGAAAATCAAAAAATCATTAAAATTCTTTCTGAAATCATTATTTTAGCAGAATTTTTTTAACTTGTGAAGTTTTTAGTCCCATAAAGGCGCAGAAAAAATCGAAATATTTTTTAATTTTTAGTAAAATTTAAGTTTCACGGCTTATGTTTCGACAAAAAGCCCGCTTGCTGTCTTTACTCGCTCGAAAATAAACTGAAACTTTTAAACCAGTTATTACCGACATTTTCTCTTTATTTCATTCGAATCAAGACTGACTCGAAAAAGGCTTTTCAATGAGATATCAGTCCACATTTTCCAATGCTTTTGGTTGAAACACAAAATGAGCCGCTCCCTCACTTTATTCACTCAAAATTGGACAAAAATTAAAAAGTTCGAACGAGTTTTTCTCGACACTGAGAAAACCATACACTTTTCAAAAATTTTTACACTGGCTCGAAGAAATGAAGTTAAAAAAACATTATAACAAAAGAAAAGGTAAAGCCTCGAAAATTAAAAAATTTTGCGGCGGCGCATTCGATATTACGAACAGGAGAATTAAAGTCCCCTGTCCTGCATCTGCGCCACGGTCCCTTGACAATTTACTAACAAATAAAGCAGCTACTTATGCTAACTACTTGCCAATTCAATGCAGCAGAAATGGCACTAAATTCAAAAAGACACAACTTTGCACGCAAGAAATTGGAATATAACAAACTAAATGCATCCAAAGTAAATTTTTATGTAATAAATTAAAACGCTAGAATTCAAACCGGCTTTTCTCAAAAGTGGGAGAAGTATTCCAAAATTTTTTGATGGTGTTCGAATCAAGACTGAAAGTTTCTAAATATGATATATTACTCAACTCTCTCCGATGATTATTTGTGATAACTGATTTTGCGTGGAAAACAAGAAAAAGCGAAAACCAAAATTCACCCGAATACAACTTTCCCCCCCATTTTCAATTGTCGGAACAATAAGCTTTCAATTCCTTCCAACTGTGCCGCGATGGCTTACAGATGAGCAAACAATAGCCACAAGTAAAGCAGAGAACAGATGCTATGAAATTTCCAATGCTACAGATCATTATTAAAGCAAAAATGCGACCAATGAGCATTTTTGTTTTGAGTTAGGCTGCAAAAAAGGAAAACCATACTAATATACTGCGCTCGCTAGTGTAAATATTGATAATAGCCAACTTTTTCCTTTGAAATTATGTCAATAAAACATCAACCGAAACCATTTGATCGAAGATTTTTTAAAAATCATATAAAAAAATTCGAAATACCATTAGAAAATTTTTGTAAAATTTTTTGAACGAGAACATTGCAATAAGCAAGAAAATCGAATTTTTTTAATTCGCAAGCACAAAATCTTGATAAATTCTCAATTTCAATATCATTGATCAGTCTTTGCTAAGTTCCGAAACGACAATTTGACTACATCGCCTGACTAGCTCCCAAGTTATTTGCCGGACACAACAACAGGCTCATGTTTACAAAATTAATACAGACAGCAATGCACTTTTATTGATAGGAATAATCCTAAAAAAAAGCTGAACAATGGCACATACATATTGATAAGATGAAGTCTCAAAAACAGTCTTAACATTCGGGGTCGCGACTTCATGCTGATAGGAGTAGTCTAGTTGATTCGACCAATTCAAGACTTGGAGGGAACTATGGCGTAGGTTGAGTTCTTTTCCGGACGAATTTAGGTACCCCATAACAATTCGTAGGGGATCAAGTTAGTCTAAGTTCGATTCCAAAAAAAAATTGAAAAAAGCCTAGAAAGACGTGTCTGAAAATTTCCGTAAATCAGGCCGAATATATAATCTAACTATTCTACAAATTCAGCATGATTTTTTTATTTTTACCTTGGAACCAAATTAGCTTATGAGCTGATTCAGTCGCTTCTCATTGGCTTGAAAATTACAACTGAAGGTTTGGAAAATATATATAAACTTAAGATATAATTTTTTTTCGAAAATGAGAGTAGTCGGAACTTCCTGTGCTACTTGCACAGCATAATCCTATCATTGCTAAGGATACTAAATCATCATAAAACAAATGAAAAATAGCTCTAAGCTTAGGCTGGCTACTTTTGCAAAAACATAGACCAACTAACAAACACATATTCAACATGGAAAGTTGATTTATGATGACCATAAAGAATTTTGAACATTGCCGAAAGGCAGTTGGAAAGTAAATAAGAACACTTTCACTTTTCCAAGAAAACAATAGATCACGACGTTGAAGCTCTCTGAATTAAGACTACTGTTTATGATCGGAACTTCTTTCGTAATATTATCCATTTAGAGAAAACTGAATCAATAAGTAATTTTCTTATTTTGCAGCAAATTCAGAAAATTTAAGTCCATTTTTGAAATTAGAAGTCATTCCCGTGTTTCGTGACCTTTTCAAATTTGCTGTATGATAGTGGAATTTGCCTTCATTTAAAAAAAAACACAAAAAAGTGAAGTGAACAAAAAACGAAATCATAGGTCAAACCGTGAAAAATCAAATTTGAGCGAGAACAGTTTTAAGGCTTTTCCAGAAAAAAAATATCTACGTAAGTGAAAAATTTTTTTTACACTTCGATATTGAAAAAAAATCGAATATTCTGCTAATATTTTCAGCAATAGTAAGCAAAAGTTCGCATGTTTCATCGTAGTGATTCTTAACTCAAATTTTGAAAAAATAATGTGGCCTTTTAAAAACTTTAGGTTGATTAGGCAAAATAGGGATTTCGCATGACGTTAACGAAGGCACCAATTAAATAATTCATAAGTGAGGGCTTTAAAAATTTAAAATTTTGAAAACTAAAGACCAAATTATGTCTTTGATAGACCAGTTCGTCCTCCCGGCGATCGATACTAAGTAAATACAACTTTTTGGTATGTACTTCAGTTGCTATATAAATTTAAGCATTGAGAAATTGTCTGATTTCAAACACACTTATTTTTCAGACAACTTTCGGTTACAGCGTAAACATTGATGCTAATACAATATTAAGATAAACCGGCTACGGAACAATGGATGACTTCTCACTTCTCTTCCCCACGGAAAAAAGGGCCGAGGTTAAATAGTGGGAGCTGGGCCGGGGTAGTCGAATAAACACGGCCCCTCACTCGAATCGATAGCTTCCTCTCGGAGATAAGTTTTCTCACACTGCAAATAGAAGAAATTTTCATTTTAATTCAATTTATATTGCGTCAAAGAGTTATATTAAGCTACGAAGTAAAATTACATTTACAAATTTGAACAGGCGTTCAGGTCAATCAATTTGGATTACTTTCGTTCATTTGGCCCAAAGTTAGAAGGGCCAGAGAGTCTATCTCGGTGGTGAGTCGCTCAGAGGAGAGCCAGTGTTTGAACTGGTTCATAACTACTTCACTAACTGCCAGTCGCTGCTCCTCCGAAGTGATGGAATCGAAAACTCCTCTCCAGTTTGTCAAGTGACTTTGCCTCGCAATCCAGCTTTTAGCGTAGTCGCCGGGCAAATATTTGAGCACATTCTCAGCCGATGAGTTCTCATTTCCTACTCCTTGTAGTTCAGGGAATGCAAACGGAATCGCAAAGAGGTTGAAATTATCCGGTTTCAAAATGTTCCACGACTGTTTTTGCTCTGGAATGGGGCAGTAAACTGTGTTCCAAAAGTTAACGCCTAGCGATAGCCCCGCCCTGGTCAAGTGATGTGTGAAAGACGCGTACCATGTATTAAAAGGAGCTAAGGTCAAGTTTTCATTTTCGTAGAGCAGTAACGGATTCGTATTTGTAAGGATGTGGAATGTTGAGTTTTCTGTCTTCTGAATAGACAGTTTTCCACATGCTGCAATGATTCGCATATTTTTACACTCATTCACGGATAAAACTGTCGAGACTGAGCCGACCACGACTGTCGTGTTTTTGCATCGTAACAAATGCACGCTTTTCACTGAGTCTAATAAGTAAATGAATGAGTTGGTGCATCTGAACAGTTTAATACAGTTATCTTGCAGCAAAGCTCCAGTCTTGGCAAGAGTCTGTTTTGTAATATGAGCAAGCATTACAGACCTAGGAATATAATTTCCCGTGGATACTATTATTTTAGACCGAATAGTCGCTGAAGACCCGCCTACGCTGGAATCAACCGGAATGCCTGGAACTGGGCAGGGTATTTTAAGCCCCAAAGACTGTGACGTTTGCATGCCAAAAGGACTCACGACCAATGTCCCACAGAGCCACTGGTTAAACTGACTGACAGTAAAAGTATTGGATTCTCGATTATAACCAGAGCCTAGAGCTCGAACAGCCAAATCTCCGATTGGTTCCAAAGACTCGTGAACACGACCTTCGAACAGGAAGTCGAGACCAGAGAGAGCTTTCAGACTCAAGTAACCTGAAGTGTGTGAAGCCAGAACTTCTAGCAAGGATCCCAACTTCTCAATGAAGAACAACACTATCGATTGCTCGTCGGCAACTTTCCGAGAAGCCATCGAGTTGTCGCCCCAACTTGCGCTCAGATCGTGACTGGAATTTCCCCCCGGCCATTCATTCGTAGCCGAACTGTAACTGCTTTTGAGAGACAATTTGTGGAACTGCTGGAAGAAAAGGTAACACATGAATGCATAGATGTCTATCTTTCTCATGTCTCCCTCGTTCCCGGCTGTCATCTGGTTGAAATGAGTCATTTTGTCGAGGTTGTTGGCGGATCCTAAATGAGCAATCGACTGTAATCTCTCGGCTGGCGATGACGTCAGAAGCAGGAAATACTCAAAGTAAAAATTTCCAATCTCTTCACTCATCTGCAGTTTGTTCACACAAATATGACGCCACATTTTCTGGGAAACTTTTCCGATTCCTCGTTTTGATTTTTCCTTCACATAAGGCAGTATTTTTTTGAGAAAGAAGGGGGAAAGTTTTGCATGAGGAGACAGTTGGAATGCTGTCTCGGTAATGATAAAAGTTCTCGGCCATATTTTGACCGAGACGTCTGTGGAACTCATTCTTTAAAAGAAAATATGATTGAATTACATTCTAAATCTGAAAAGATACACGAGTTATCAAGTTGTAACTGATGATAAACTTCATCGCAAAACAATAATACCAGACGTTTTCCGACGGACGTCCGACAAAGTAGCACAGAATGTTCCGCCCACAGCAAACCACCCATTTTTTCCACAAGGTCTCATCCACTCTCCAAGGTCAAAAAGTCGGAAATACAGACAATTATTCTAAATTTTACAATTCGAATCACGACTGACATCGCTTTAACATGTTAGCACATTCGATTATTTTCCCAAATTTGTTTTCATATATCTGAAAGCGAGCGATAACAAGGTCGGAACAAACACTCGCAGGGCGAACAGGAAAAAAGTGATTCAGATATTTGCAATCATAGTGAGATATAAATGGAAAAAAAGAAACTATCTCATTTCAAAGCAGAGACATTGCAGCTCAAAGAGCTTTTTACTACAAAAACTAAAATATCAAGTTCAAGTTCAAAATTCACTTGGAGGCAGCTGCACTTTCCTTCGGGCTGTTGATCACCTTTTCTAGAACATAGGCCGAAGATGGTTCAATCCTTTTGTAATACCCTTCCACTGTATTTGTAATCTCGAATCCTTCCTTCTTGTAAAACTCCAAGGCACTGTCGTTTCCCAATTGCACATGCAAATACACCGCCTCAACATCTGGGAACTTCTCGCATAGTTTAAAGACATGTTCCAACATAACAGTTCCAACTCCCAACCGTCTGTACTTGGGTAGACAGCCGAGAGTCATAATGTAAATTTTCTTCTGGTTTTTGTCTCGGAATCCCGGACTGGGCAAAGGGGTGTGGGTGTTGTTTGGGTTCTGGGGAGGCCCGCCCTTTTCAACCCGACAACACACCGCACCAACTATGATGTCATTGAAGTAGACCAACTGAGCCAGTTCGCCCAGGTCCAGAACATCCTTGTAGAACTTGTCATTGTACATCACTGGGAAAATGACCGTATTGAGACGCTTCAACTGACCCACATTGTGCTTCGTGATGTCTCCAAGGTCAATTTTGTAATTGCTCTTCTCTTTCATGGTTAACTGAAAAACAAACACTTTTTCAGTGTTTACTTATAAACAAACATTTCCTCTCAAATTACGTGTTTCACTTCGAATTAACTATCTTCGGATTAACGAATTTAAAGAGACAAACTTTCAGTTATATTTCAAGCTGATTTATAAACACCATTGTTTTGCTCGAGATATAAAACTTTTGATTCCGGTGCCTATAATCGCCCACAAAAAACAATCCACGACTATTCTGGTCAAAACAAAAAAATATTCGCCCTCTTAATTTTTTGAAACCAAGTTTTTTTGCATAGCTGAACATGCGTTCCTAGTTTAAAAAAGATAGCGCAGAACTTAAAAAAGATAAGCAGAAAAAGTCATTATTTTCTAGCGGAACCGGAGCTCGTCGAGCTTTGCTAACTAAGTTTAAAAAAAGCAGTTAACAGTTTTTGTTAATTAATGTATAAATTAAGAGTTGAAATTATCCACGGTAGACAAAAATTTGGCCTTTCTTTTATCCCTTCTTCTGTCAAATTGTTACAATTGTTGATGCTGGTTGTGTAAATTTTAGTTGAATTTGGAGATGTACATTTTTCTTTCTTCTCGGTAACATCAGATCATATTTTATCACCTCTGATGTAACTAAACTATCCATCAGTTATTAACTTCTTCAGAGACTCTATCTTTTCGTCCAACTCTAACTCCCTCTTCTCCAACTCACTTATCTCCCCTTCCAGTTCATCGACCTCGGCCTCGTATTGTAGTTTCTTACACTTCGCTTTCTCTCTGCTCTTTTTCACAGCCGCATTGTTTCTTGCTCTTTTTGTCGAATAGTCCTCCTCATTGCAACTGACATTACTACTACTACTACTACTATAACAAACCAAAAGCGAAAATTTGGAACAGGCAGAATTTAATAATAAAAAAGAGCAATCTGCTTTTTCAAATAGTTTTTGCATGCAAATGTCAAACATCGGTTGAACTTATTAATCCTTTTTTTTTCTGAAAAACTAGCTTTTACATGCAATAATTTTCGGACACGGATCATTAGCTCTTGATAATTGAGTCTATCTACCCGGAGTTTTTGTTATTCTCTTTAGTTGAGCTTATCGAAGCATCACTCCCGCCAGACTTCGTCTCCAAGGAAACTTCAGCTGACGTCTTTCGTTTGGGCATTTAGAATCGCGTGGTCTTGTGTTCTGTGAATAAAGTACATCGCTGACAACTCACTGGAAAGAAACACTGGTGTCCTTAGGCCGAAATTTTCATAATTGATGAAATCTGAAATGATAAGAACGAACATATTCAACAGACAAGGACTCAATGAACGACTGATTTTTTCCTAAATTTAGAAGTTTAATAAAAAAATCAGGAAGCATTTAAGCTCGTTGGATTCAAAGAACTCAAAGCACCGGATCAAAAAAATGAGTATTTTTTTCCGCCGGAAATTCTAAAACTTAAAATCCAATTTTCAAACTTAAAGTCATACAGCTCCAATTTCCACAAAAATTCTACTCATACTATTGGAGAGCATTGTTTGAAATCCACTCAAAAATTGTATTAAACGTCAAGCAGAAAATAAGAAAATAGCCTGTTCAACAGAACTGAGACTGTTCGTTTCAGGACAGAACCCTTCATGTTTCGGATGTCGTTGCTCCTCCACCGTTCTCAAACAGTTCAATAAAAAACGCGGCCGGCCCGCATTTACTAAGTGATACAAGTTGAACCCGACAACGTGCCTCCATTTTATTTAGTAGCATTTTGGAGCCTAATTGGTTTGCTGCTCAAGTGTTTTCAGTGAACACAATATGAAAATGAAGCGCACATATATAAACTTACATCAATAAACTTCCAGTTATTTTCTTTCATTGATTTCAATTAAATTGGTCGCAAATTATTTATGGATTCAGGTCGTCCACATCTTCAATGCAACACAGTGATTATCCAAGATATCCCGACGAACCATTAAAACCTGAGTATTTTTAAATGCAATTGTAACGCCATAGAAAGGCTCAAGACAGAATGATCTAATAAGACTTCCTTCAAACTGTTCCAAAAACGATTTGGCGCAACGATTCGACCAAGTTTATACGGATAAAGCTCATTAAATTGATTACTTTTTGCCATACGCTTTGGCTGTCTTCCAGGTGCCAGTCCCCAAAAGAGTGAACAAAAAAGATATTAGTAGCCAAATAATGCTTAAAAAGGTATATAATCTGCAATTCCATTTCAAATTTTTAAACAGCTTTAAGCCAAAAAGAGACATGATTTGCAAAAATTGTTTCGGCTATCAGGCAGCGAATTAAATAAGGATACCAATTTTTCCGATTTAACTTTTGACAACTTTGGGCAAGTAACTTTTTTCGCACATAGATTTATTCATAAAAATAGAACAGAAATTAGTGTCTAAATTTCCATCACCTTTTTAAATAACTGAAATTGAAATTCAGAAATGTAAATGATGTTTTATTATAAGAAATTCAAAAAATGTATTGGTGAGTCAAGGGTGAGTGTACAAATAACTAAATGATTTAAGGGGTATAGCAAATACATCTAGTAGTACAATAGTTTCGGTAAATGAAAGAAGTGGCGAACTTGTTAGCGACAAGTTAGCTATCGCAAATGAATTCAACGGTTATTTTTCCTCTATTGGCAGTCACTTAGCTAACCAAATATCTAAATTAGGATCCAATCAACTTTATTTTGAGCCTCAGTTTTTCATGCGATTAAAGTCATTTACAGAGCGTAAAAATAATGTCATTCTTTCTGCGCCACAAAACAAAATATTTGCTCAAACAGATGTAATAAGTAATCGAATCGCAAAAGCTAGCTTATTCGCAATTGTGCCCTTTTTGAAACAATCATTGAACTACCCTTTAAATTAGGATGTTTTCTTATCGCTCTGGCTGAAGCAAGATCGAAATTAGAAATCAGTTATTATCAACCAATATCACTTCTTGTAACATGAGCAAGGTATTTGAACGAGCGATGTACGACAGAGTTTACAGCTACCTTGAAAAAAACTCACCTATTTATCAAACAGTTTGGTTTCCGTAAGACCCAGTACTATTGATGCCATTACCGAAATAACAGAGAAATGTCGCCTATATAAAATTGATCACCCAAGAGAACAGTTTTTCTTGATTTAAAACAGCTTTTGACACACTGGATAACGAGATTTTGTTTCATAATTTAGAAGAAACATGGCGTGAGTTGAAAAATTTTGCTTTCGTTTATAAGTTAGGTCAAACACAGCAAACAAGATGTCAAAAGTAATGAAACGCGATGAACGTGGCGAAATCTGAGTATTGGTTTCCGCGAGGACTCATTTTGGAGCCTCTGCTATTTCTTATATATCACGACATTCCAACAAAAGTCAGCAAATGTAGTGAAGTTTTCTAATAGCCGATGACACAAACATAACTGGTCTATGGGTTGAGATTTTTGGGCAAGAATTAGAAGCTAGAAAACTGTGGTCAATTTTGAATAAATTATCTCTAAATATGGACAAAACGGTAGAAGCCAAAGTATTTGTGAATCGTGCCTGCATCTAGTAATTGTAATTAACAACATACTTTTGAAAATTGCAGGGTCATGCAAATATCTTGATGTTTAAGGAGATTCATTTCTCACATTGACTTCTTGCGATCTAAGCTCAGAAAATTCTTAGTCATTGTTTCAAAAAAGCGCCATTATGTTCCGAAAACCGTTATGATAGAAAATTATGTCTGTAATATGCCCATTTTGCAAGATGAAATCATGGTACATGGTTGCACTTTCTACACAAACATTTTACATCTTTTTATGATCCAAAAAAGTTTATTCGATTGATTTTCTTCAAAAGAATTTATGAAAGCATCAGACAAAAATTTAACAGAAAGCGAAGCTGAGCGATACAAAAGTGAATGACTATAGATAAAATCAAACGGAAGAAAAGTAAAGAAAAAACTTCAAATATCGATTTTTCATTTAAAACGCACACGCCATAAAAATTCAAAAAAATTCCTGTACCATTCAAAATTATACAGGGAGCATACGTTATGATAGAAACCGAGTATTCAAAAGGACGTTTCAGTGGAATTAAGCTGACAAAAAAGGTAGAGAGACAATAATCTAAAATAGCCATTGGCAAAAACCCACAGGTCACGACTGGAACCGAATTCCCGGGCTTTGTGGTCTAAAGCATGGATTTTACAGCACTTTGGAAAAAAGCTGAACTTTCAAAATAAATTCAGGCTACAGGAACTAAGCCGACAATAACAAACAAAAGGATTATAGTCAGAAACAGAACGAAGACTCTAGGTAACACAAAAACAGCCTTTGCTGTCTCGAGCAGACAAGTTATCTCTACGCCAGAGGCACCGCATGATTGGTTAGTTTGAATTGATAAATACCAAGGGGTAGCTAAGGCGAAAATACCTCAGCAAAAAACCCTTCAAGAGAAAAAAAAATCCAACTAATAATACAAATACAAATACCCCTCACCCTCAGAAAAAACACACGCACACAAAATTCGTTTCGGTGCTCAAAACACAAAAAAGAGGCCACCCAGTCGATATAGAAAAAAACTGAAACCAATAAAACCGAAAAGAAAAAAAAAAAACGCCATTTAACAACTCAAATTTCGATTTGACCGGATTTTTAAAAAGAAACAATTTTACATTTAGCAACTAAGCCGATAAAACATTAGCTGAAAAAAAAGATGACGACAATTTCAAAAGAAAGAAAAGATTTCCGTTTGAAAAAAAGGTCCTTGGTCAGATTCGAAACCGGGACCTTTGCCGTCCCGGCCATATTCGTTACCTCCAAGCTAAATGAGCAGGAGAAACTAACAAACTTGAATGCATTAGGAACCAGACTACCAACAGGAAACCAGATGAGTCCCGAGAAAAAGTTGGCTTGAGGGAAAAAAAAGTCTAATGCCCGATTGCAATACCCTTCCTTATCGCATATGACCAGATGCCCAACCATAAATTTGATTAAAAAACTCACAACCTAAAAAGCATAGTTCAAAGAGCAGTTACAGAAGAGCTAAGCTCTTTAAATTGCTGCGATAAAATTCCTGAATTCCAAAAGTTTTTCAACAAATTTAAGTCAGATAATCAAAGCCTTCACACAAAAATTGTGATTTGTTTACATTAGGCAGTGAAGAGCTGATTACATTTGCTTTTTGACATATTTTACCTAGATACAACGATAGTATCTGAAATTGACAGATGTGAAGCGCCTGCATGTCTTAAGTTGTTTAAATAATTGTATATGGTTTTCAAGGCGTCTTAGGCGCTTTGGAAACCATACTTAGGCTTTTTGGTTGGTTATTGCCACATGAGCTCAGTTAAGTCTGCTGTCCGTTTAGCAACCCCCAATCAGTTCTACTGATGTAAGAGAGGTTTCAAGATGGGACACAGCTAGTTAATTCAGTAACAGTAAAAAGAACAAATTCAAGCCTATGACTAGCGATTTTTTAAGAAAATTTGGGGAAAGGTTTGAACTTTTTTCTTTAAATTGTTTTTATACCGACCACAATTGAACAATGATTTTTAATAATGATGCAGTGCTCGAACCCTATGTCATTAACCTGTCTAGACAATACCAGATAACTGCTACTTTTGTTTATTCTCTTGTTAATTTCATACGTGACGCACGCAAATTATGAGTCTACAAAATTGCTAAGTAACGCAACCCAATTAAGACGCATCAGCAGTACCAGTCAATTTGAAAAAAAAAGATATTTACCAACTAACATGCCTCAATTTATAGAGCGGACGCATTGAAATAAGTATACGAAAAAGTTCATTAAAAACGTCCGAACCTGCCCAATCAATTCTACTGATGTAAGAGAGGTTTCAAGATGGGACACAGCTAGTTACATTTAGCAACTAAGCCGATAAAACATTAGCTGCTGGTCTCCTTACCTATTTCTACGCTACAGATCAATTTTGCTGCTGGTCTCCTTACCTATTTCTACGCTACAGATCCATTTTGCCTTGAAGCTAAAGTGCTATTTGTAATATAATGTGCTATTGTCTGTGTTAATATCCTTAGCATTGGCTGTATTTAAAAGCTGGATCGAAATGAACACTTTCAAAATGATCACATTTTGTCGCAACAATTGCATCGCAACAATATTTGCGACTTAGGTTGGAAAAAAGAAATTCATACTATAACACAAGCTAAGCTTGTGGAATAAACACCGTAATTTCGCGTTGTTAAGTCAAAGAAACCGACTCAAAGGGTAATAAATTAAGGCTGACATTTTTGGCTTGATTTTTGCAAAACAAATTACATCTTAATCCTGGTAGAGGTCTTTAGTCGACATTACTTTTCTTCTTGTCTTCGACAATTTTCCAGATGAATTAAACCATCTTTGTATACAAAGAGGAACAGCTTAGCTTTAACACGCATGCAATACAGTAATTATAGCGAACAGACAAGACAGTTGGAAAAGATTCAATGACCGCAAGTAAATAGAAAAAAAATGATAACTGGTTTTTTGAAATCTCAACTTTCGAATTTCAAAGAAAAAACAGATCTTCTTAAAGCTCTTGAATTTCTAGACGCCTAAAGGAATCAAACGAAAAAGCAGATAAGTTGAAGGACACTTTATTAACATTTGGAAAGCATAATTTACAGAATTTTAACAAATACAAATAATTTACAACGCGTACAAAACTATTCTGAGAGCTCAATGGCAGCTAATCTCACATTTAATTTAGGTTTCCTGACTAACCTTTGATGTATTTTCACGGTCACTTTTCATTAAATCGCTTTTTTTAAAACATGACAGCCATCAGATATATTAAGCACTATTTAGGGGTCCCCCTCAACAGTTTGTCTCCTTGCAATTCCATGCTACTATAATAATATACCAACCATTTTCGGCCGAACAATCTGGGAATTTTCTCTAAAGGCGACTATATATTCTTATTCAGTAAAACAAAGTACCGATTTGTCCAATGTTCAATCTGAAAAACCCTTTATCTTCCATCCTGGAATCATTTTCGGAGGGCTTAATCAACTTTAGTAACATCAAGAGCGAACTAAAATCACATTGATCCCGTTTTTTTGCGGAAAAAACTTTCATATCAACGAGTCTAAGAAAAGTGATTTCACGAAAGTCCAAATTAGAGGAAAACGGTATTTTAGAACAGATTTAGGAAGTGGTCCAGACCCTGGCCCAAATCCCAGATAGCTACGCCTACATTCAATTTCTCCGCCAACTGCAGCCTCAACTTAACCGAGTGTAACGTGGGGTAGTACACTTTCTCACTGGATCCGAACTGAAACACATGTTCCATCGCATTTTCGTCCCACTGTACCTTCGTCTTAGTGTTGTGCTTGTTGAGCAGTTCCAGGAAACTAGTGCCTGTGATTGCCTCAACTTTGTGGTTGTTTGTGTAATATTTGTAGCCGTAGAAATTCATGCCTAATAGGAATTTCGATCTCTCGACTGCCGGGAGATCCTTGGTGTAGTATAGAATGCAGCTGGTGATCCATGAAGCAGGAGAAACTGGACCTGAATACAATTTTCAAGAAACTCATTTTTGAACACAATCTGATATTAATTCTAAAATTAAACACTCCAGCTAGAAACATCAGCTGATCTCGTTAGCTATCTTTTTATACAGAGGATAAGCTGCACTTCAAAATTACGAAAAAAGAAACACAAAAGGAGCTCTAAAATAACAGGAACATAGGCAACAGAGTTGAAACATTTTCAAGTAACTCACCGTTGTATAATTATTGATGTTGCTTCAAAACATTTTTCGACTTTCGGAGAAACAGTTCATCACATTGCAGCTCATTGATTTTCAAAAATCTCTTATCAGCGTTATTTTTCACAAGCGTAGATTCGCACCATTTAAGATACACCACGACTATGGCAAGCTAGTCGAAAGAAAAACTAGACGAAATTCATCAAGTCCAGAAAATTAATTGAAACACGGAGGCAAAGCGGAGCTTCGCGCCCCTTGCGATTAAACAAACAAAAAAACATAAGTCAAAAATATGGAAAACGTTGAAATTTCCTTACAGGACAAACAAAATGTGTCATATGACAACAAAGCCGACAAAACTTTAGCAGAATAACGGAAGTCCAAAATTCAAATTGTACCATTTTTTTTAATTGCATGCATACTGAAAAAAAAAACACGGTCCGGCCGAGAGTCGAACTCCAGACGGTGTTAGTTCTAGGCTAAGTGGGAAGGAACCTGTAGGTTGGGAAGGTTCATTAAAGTAGCAAGTTGAAAAGTTAAAACGTAAGAAAAAAGGGTTTACTGGAAAATGTCTTGTTACCGATTTCAAGACACTTGCTATCGCAAGTGTAATAATACCTAATTTTGTCGTTGGTCGAACAGGAATTTTTGCCTTCGAAACAACGCAATATAAAGTTATTATGCCATAAAACAAACCGAAACCGTTCAATCGAAAAAAAAAATACATAGAAAAAAATAAAATTATTGAAAACCAGACTTGATAAAATGACAAAATTTCAACATCGATTTCAAAATCACTAAAAAATCCATGCTAAACAAAAAAGCGAAAAAAACAGGGACAAAAAACTATTTCGTGTTAAAAAACGAGAAATGAACCGACGCGAACAAGGCCGATGAACCACGAATCTGAGCAAAAAAAAATTCTTGAAACATTTTTTCAAGAAAATGATTTGAAAAAAAACTAACACCGGAAACGGACTACACCTATTTACTACCTAAATGAAGGTAGTTTTACGCGAATTTTCAATAAATTGAGCATGTCTGAACATTTATTATTCCTGCACATTCAACCATTCGGTGCCTAAAAATATTTCCGTGAAAAAACTCTTGTACCCAACTGCAATAACCTAGCTTATCGCAAGAGTAAAAATGAAAGGAAACCGACTACCTAAAATTTTATCGTTTGCCTCAAATAAAAAGATGCCAAAAATCGAACAAAATTTAAGCAGATGTGAAGCAAAGGAGAAAGCGGTCAAAAGGATCTTTGAAACTTTCAAAAACACATATTTTGCAAGAAAAAACTTCTAATAAAATAAACTAAACGCAGCGACACTTATTTTGCATTAGATGGATTTGTACGTTAAAACCAAAAAATGTATCACTTATACATTGCAAAAATTACGCGAAACGTCATTTTTGAAATCTGAAATAGAAACTTTAATATCATACTGTTGTATGAAGTAAATACCTTTTTTCAGTTCATTTGATTGAAGTTCAACTTATTACTAATCGAATTTCACAGCATTTGCTATAAAATTTCCGATGCTGCATGAGTTGCTGTGTGTTATTAAAAATAAAGCGCTAATATTTGCGACTTATGTGGAAAAAAAGTTACCAAGTATCCCACTACAATGCGCATGTGTCATGAATCAGTAATTAAGCAGACAAAACACTTTTGCACCAAAAACAACCTCGCTCGTAAAAAATCTTCAAAATAAAAAAACCAACATACACCAAACCCTTTGTTGTGAAAAAATACGCTCTGAAAAAACTAATTGAAGTCATTATAACTCAAAATTAGTTTGCAAACAAAAAAAAACAGCTAACAGACAGTTGAAAAAGAGTCAAAGAACGCAAGTGAACAGAAAAAAAAACTGACAATTTTTCGAAAAAAATCTCAATTTTCGAATTTCCAAGAAAAGAGATGCTGTGAAAACTCTTTGAATTTCTGGAACAAATCATGATTGACGCTTGTTTTGATTTAAAAATAACCCAATTTGGGAAACTTGATCAAAGGACAAAACTTTTATGAAGCTGGGAAATCAGAAAATTAAATTACACTTTCGAAACTAGAATTCGATCAGGTTTTTGGGTCCTTTACACTTTTGCTGTTTGCTAGTGGATTTGACTTCTTTCTGACAAAGGAAGCTAACTGAACTTCTAAAAAATTTAGAAGTCAAACAGCGAAAAAATAAATTTGAGCCTGAACAAAATTAAGACTTTTCCCGAAAAAAAAATCACTTTCATTGACTCTAAATACCAAATAGCACAGGAAAAATTCTACAGTTTGCAACGTAAGAGACGTGGCTTTGAAGGATCAAAGAAGCAAAAAAAACAGAAATGATTTTTCAAAAATAAATGACCTATACGGAAATCAAACCTCAATCCTTGGACATCCAAATTTTCAAGTCGACTGTGGCACACAACTTGCATATTTTAACACGCTAACAAATTTTAACACAGAGGCGAAGCTGATCTTCGCACCATTTGCCATACAAAGCAAGAATACCGCTAAGTCGAAAATGTCGAAAACACTAAATAGATCAAAATGAATTATTAGGTCACACTCATCTTTAAACACAAACACGTATATATTTCTTTACTTGTACCATGCAACAATATAAGTTCACAAAGCCGATATAATATAGACCGAAACCTATTAGGGCGAAAAAAAAAAGAAACTAAAAAAATGCCGGAAAAAACTGCGACTAATAAAAAGTTATTTAGCCCCCCTCACCTTCAAAACACACACATTTAAAAAAAGTTTCGCTTGTCAAAAGATACAAAAAAGGCACTTGAGACGAATTTATAAAGGCCAAAACCTATCAAGCGGGAAAAACGAAAAGAAATAAGCAAAAAACAAAAAAGCCGAAAAAAATTATTGTCATAAAAAACTATAGACTCCATTAAGACTTTTAGCATTTTGTGCAATCCGGAAGGAGCAAAATATAATTTCCCTGTAACTAATTAAAAATAGGCCATTAAATAAAAAAAAAACGAAATAAATTCGGCAGAACAGAGTTTTTAAGCGAAAAAACAAAAAAAAGAACATACACGAAATCAAATAGCAGAAAAAAAATCAGAACTCTAAAAACAATTACAACTTGACTTGCGTACAGCAACCAGAAAAAAATTACGATGTAGAAATTAAGCCGACAAAACATATATCTGTTGCTGTCAGATTCGAACCCCAACTTTTGCCTTCCTCTAAATTTACCATTTCTAAATTTACCATTTCTAATTTTGTCCATTCTGTGAACAAATATTTAAAGGGAAAAAGTCTAGTACCCGATTGCAATACCTTGCTGATCGCAAGGGTAAACACTAGTCAATGATAAATTGGATAATACATGCTAATAAAATGGCAATAAATACTATGCAACAAAAGCACCGAGTTGGGTTGAAAAAATAGGACTTCGTAAAACGACACTGCGCTCATATATCTATTCAAGCTAAAAAAAACAGAGACAGCCGGATTAAATAAGTTTCTTTCCGTTGAGAAATCTTAAAACTAAATTGAACTTTTGGACCTAAGTTGCCTTTTTGTTATCGTAGGGTGTGTTTGTCTTCCACTTAGTAAATGAAAAAATGCTGCCTTCGTACTCACTTCTCACACAGAGTCTAAGCTGGAAGAAAGCAAAAATATACTTCGAACAAGACACTTGTTCTCGCAAAGGTAAAAATAGAAATGCCAACCGCCGGACTCGAGCCGCCAACCAGGAGATGACAAGTCTAGTCTCGCATTTAAATATATAATAGATCGAATATTTAAACTTTCCTCCGTATCGATAAACACCGGTTCTAATTTTTTGATTATTAGTTACTTCGAGCGAGTAAAACGTGCGAATATGTGATAACCTAGAAAAAGCTTTGATTCAACGTAGTTTTCCCCAGGAATTTCGGAGCTGGAATTAGCGCATCAAAAATTGTTTTTTGCTTTTCATTTTATGAAGACAGCCGCAGTCGATTGTCTGATTTATAAAGGTTTTTGTGAATCAGACTGTTCAAAATCTTGCCGATTTCATCCATTAGTGTGTGACAGCGATTCAGTTATCAAATTCAGACCTGTTATCTTATGCAGCACAAAAAAACTCGCACAAAAAACTAGCTTGAAAATTGCACAAAAAAAACTTAACCAAAAAGATACTGGAAAACCGACTCACCAAAATTCTACCCTCAACCAATCTTAATCTTTTTGAAGCTTCTTGATCTCTAAAATGTAGCCGTTGACGCATTTTATCAGTATTGGGCATTTTCTGGCCAAAAAGAAGCTTTTTGACGCGGCGCTTTTTTTCAGTCTCGTTGCGCTACGCTAACGACCAGGAAAACATCGCCGGTCAAATATGCTTGTTTCGCCGCGAGGCAAACCTGGTAACTTTCTGCTGTACACTTTCCAAAAGAACGGGGACTTTCAATAAATACTATGCAACAGAAGTACCGAGTTGGGTTGAAAAAAAGGACTTCGTAAAACGACACTGCGCTCACCAGCTCATATATCTATTCAAGCTAAAAAAAAACAGAGACAGCCGGGTTAAATAAGTTTCTTTCCGTTGAGAAATCTTAAAACTAAATTGCACTTTTGGAACTAAGTTGCCTCTTTGTTATCGGAGGGTGTGTTTGTCTTCCACTTAGTAAATGAAAAAATGCTGCCTTCTTACTCACTTCTCACACAGAGTCTAAGCTGGAAAAAAGCAAAAAGATACTTCGAACAAGACACTTGTTCTCGCAAAGGTAAAAATGAAAAAGCCAACCGCCGGACTCAAGCCGCCAACCAGGAGATGACAAGTCTAGTCTCGCATTTGAATATATAATACATCGAATATTTAAACTTTCCTCCTTATCGATAAACACCGGTTCTAATTTTTTGATTATTAGTTACTTCGAGCGAGTAAAACGTGCGAATATGTGATAACCTAGAAAAATCTTTTATTCAAGGTAGTTTTCCACAGGAATTTCGGAGCTGGAATAAGCGCATCAAAAAATTTTTTTTGCTTTTCATTTTATGAAGACAGCCGCAGTCGATTGTCTGATTTATAAAGGCTTTTGTGAATCAGATTGTTCAAAATCTTGCCGATTTCATCCATTAATGTGTGACAGCGATTCAGTTATCAAATTCAGAACTGTTATCTTACGCAGCACAAAAAAACTAGCTTGAAAATTGCACAAAAAAACTTAAACAAAAAGATACTGGAAAACCGACTCACAAAAATTCAACCCTCAACAAATCTTAATCTTTTTGAACCTTCTTGATCTCTAAAATGTAGCCGTTGACGCATTTTATCAGTATTGGGCATTTTCTGGCCAAAAAGAAGCTTTTTGACGCGGCATATTTTTTCAGTCTCGTTGCGCTACGCTAACGACCAGGAAAACATCGCCGGTCATGTATGCTTGTTTCGCCGCGAGGCAAACCTGGTAACTTTCTGCTGTACACTTTCCAAAAGACCGGGGACTTTCACTAAATACTATGCAACAAAAGCACCGAGTTGGGTTGAAAAAGTAGGACTTCGTAAAACGACACTGCGCTCACCAGCTCATATATCTATTCAAGCTAAAAAAAACAGAGACAGCCGGGTTAAATAAGTTTCTTTCCGTTGAGAAATCTTAAAATTAAATTGAACTTTTGGAACTAAGTTGCCTTTTTGTTATCGGAGGGTGTTTGTCTTCCACTTAGTAAATGAAAAAATGCTGCCTTCCTACTCACTTCTCATACAGAGTCTAAGCTGGAAAAAAGCAAAAATATACTTCGAACAAGACACTTATTCTCGCAAAGGTAAAAATAAAAATGCCGACCGCCGGAATCGAGCCGTCAACCAGGAGATGACAAGTCTAGTCTCGCATTTAAATATATAATAGATCGAATATTTAAACTTTTCTCCGTATCGATAAACACCGGTTCTATATTTTTGATTATTAGTTAAATTCGAGCGAGTAAAACGTGCGAATATGTGATAACCTAGAAAAAGCTTTTATTCAACGTAATTTTCGCCAGGAATTTCGGAGCTGGAATTAGCGCATCAAGAATTTTTTTTGCTTTTCATTTTATGAAGACAGTCGCAGTCGATTGTCAGGTTTATGAAGGTTTTTGTGAACCAGACTGTTCAAAATCTTGCCGATTTCATCCATTAATGTGTGACAGCGATTCACTCATCAAGACTTGTTATCTTATGCAGCACAAAAAAACTCACACAAAAAACTAGCTTGAAAATTGCACAAAAAAAACTTAAAAAAGATACTGGAAAACCGACTCACCAAAATTCTACCCTCAACCAATCTTAATCTTTTTGAAGCTTCTTGATCTCTAAAATGTAGCCGTTGACGCATTTTATCAGTATTGGGCATTTTCTGGCCAAAAAGAAGCTTTTTGACGCGGCATATTTTTTCAGTCTCGTTGCGCTACGCTAACGACCAGGAAAACATCGCCGGTCATATATGCTTGTTTCGCCGCGAGGCAAACCTGGTAACTTTCTGCTGTACACTTTCCAAAAGACCGGGGACTTTCACTAAATACTATGCAACAAAAGCACCGAGTTGGGTTGAAAAAATAGGACTTCGTAAAACGACACTGCGCTCACCAGCTCATATATCTATTCAAGCTAAAAAAAACAGAGACAGCCGGATTAAATATGTTTCTTTCCGTTGAGAAATCTTAAAACTAAATTGAATTTTTGGAACTAAGTTGCCTTTTTGTTATCGTAGGGTGTGTTTGTCTTCCACTTAGTAAATGAAAAAATGCTGCCTTCGTACTCACTTCTCACACAGAGTCTAAGCTGGAAAAAAGCAAAATATACTTCGAACAAGACACTTGTTCTCGCAAATTTAAAAATAAAAATGCCGACCGCCGGAATCGAGCCGCCAACCAGGAGATGACAAGCCTGGTCTCCTCCCACCTATAACAGAGAGGCGAAGCTTCGCTTCACAAACACATGCGCGAACACAAAAAGCAGCTCTAGAAAGTGCAAAAATAAAATTTAGAAATAAGCCTCGAATTAGTACAAATTCGACTACCTGAGATTCGGACCTACAACCTAGTGTCTCACACACTAACCACTCAGCCCCCGAAGCTTAATAGGTAAAAACACTAGCCACAAATAAAACAGAACAGATGCTATGCAATTTCCAATGCTCAGTAAAATTTCAAATAAGTGAACACTTTTAATGAACTCTTTTATTTGCGAGTTAGGTTAGAAAAAAGAAGGTTAGTTATAATACACTGAGCTGATCGTGAGTGAAATTAAGTTAACAATTGTCACTAAAAAAACGTATCGAACACATGCAATCAAAATATCGATGCTATGGAGCAAAAGAGAACAGCAAAATGAACACTATTTTATTTGAGTTGCGTTAGAAAAAAAGTGAATTCGTAATATATAACTACTCTCGTTAGCTAGCACGGGTAAACAGAAATTTTTGTGAGTTTATTCAGGACGGTTGTAATAATTCATGTTATTTTTTACGCTTAATATATCTTTTTCAATTCCTGGAAAGAAAACATTGCAACTGACTATAAAATACTTTTTAATCAAATCTGACCTGGCTCTCGGCCAGAGGAATAATCGTAAGTCATGACGTTGAAGTAGTCAACCATTGCTCTGAGTTTCCTAAAGTCTGCTACTGTGAAGAAGTTGACAGGGGAGCCGTCTTCCCGTATGGGCGCGGGCAAAGGTACTACCAACATCAAATTCTGCTTCCTCGCCAGTCCCCCCAAGTGACTCAAGAAATGCATGGCCTGATTTTTGAATGGAAAGCCTGAAAGGCGCCGCGAGTATATTAATTAATTTTGAGCAATTTCAATTCGACCAACTTAACATTCTGCCTTTCTGAAGACAAAATTTGAAGAAAAAAAAAGATTTTCCAAATTATCTTATTATCGAATCTTCGCTGAATTTGAAAAACGGAAAGTTCCTGCTGCATTGTAGAACGAAACTTTCTTACTGTAAATTCAACTAAGCTTTCCTGCTGCAAATTAAAAATAACTTTATCAATAGAAACCAATATTTCACCTTCGGAACAAATTACTGTTAAAATAACGCTATAAAACTTCACATTCAGATTAACACGACGTAAAAAATCTTTACATTCAAACAGAACTAACCAACTTGCAGAAGAATCTCGCAGACGAACCCGTCAAAATTGTGAGACTGAATGAAAGTGGTGATCTTGTGAACCACTGCTGTCTGTGTCATTTCACTAGCGAACAATGCATTCAGATCGGCTGATTTCCATCCATCGAAAAGGATGCGGGGAACTATCTTCACAGCTGGATTGGACGCACGCACTTCCTGCATCCAAGAGGAGTCAGTATCTTGAAGGCCTGAAGATGAAAAAGAATAATATATTCAAATACTACTATGAAAAAACAACCGGCAATTTGCAATTTCGAAAAACAGATATGCAATTCATATAAGTCAAAAACAAATTAAAAGAGTCACTTTTCATTGACAAAAAAAATAAAGAAAGATCTGGATTAAACCAAAAGTTTGTAATCATCAAAAAAAATTACATTAAACGTGTCAAAATGAAGAACAATTGAACCCCCCGCATTCCCGATACGAACGTATGCACGCTACGTACAAAGTCATATGTTCTTCGTCTAGAAATGCATTAACATTGAATAAACTGCCTCAATTCGATTACGTTGGTCCTCTGTGTTGTATTTAGCCGATGGGTCAACTGAGAATGTGTTAGTTCACTTTTTCAAACCGCAGTCTCAAATTTTTGGGTTCTGACCACAGAAAGAGTTTGCCTTTGGTTGTGTTTTAGTTTTTTTCCAACATTTTTTCCCGTCAAAATCAGGTGCTAAAAATAGTAATCTGAATGGGTCAATAGATGGACCAAAAAAGGCCCTTTCAGTTGTGACTAGCGTGTAACGCACCTCTGGTGCTTCGAATTTTAAACAACTCATTAAAGCCGCATGTATTGGAAATAAGATCTGAATCTTTTGAGTGTACTCTGACAGCACCAAATTACAGGGTTCGTAATTACAAAATTTGCAAAGTTTTTTATTCAAGTTTTTCAATACAAATTTTGAAAAACCATAAAATTTTGTGAAATTTTACATAAGTTCTTTGAAAAAATTCAAAATGAACTAAGAAACGTCACATCTTAAAAAACAAAAGCAACTGAGCAGTCGCATTGGGACGCACGATTTGCAACTCCTGAGAGTACTCTAACAGTACCCAACTACAACGTTGGGAAATTCAAATTTTGAGAAAGTTCAAACTTAAGTTTCCTTAAAAAAAATATTTTTTGAAAACCAGAAAAACTCACACCTCAAAAACTACCAAGATTTGAGCAGGCTTATTTGAAGGCAATATACGCAATCCTTGACAGTACTCTGACAGCACACAACTACAAGGTTGGAAATTTCAATTTTGTGAATTTTTTTTTCTGATTTCAGTTATCTGAAAATTTCTGAAAAAATCATAAATGTGTCGCATCTCGTAGCCTGAAAAAATTTGCGCATTCTTAATTGAAGCCAAAATTGCCACCCCTGAGATTACTCTGACAGCCCCCAACTACAGGCTAGGAAGTTCAGATTTTGAATAACGAAGTTTAATTTAAGAAATTTGAAGAAAAAACGACAAAAAACGTCATATCTGGAAAACTAAAAGCTTTTGAGCTGTCATATTTGGAGGCAAAATTCGCAACCACTGAGACTTTTCTGACAGACTCTAATACAGACTAGGGAATTTCAAATTTTTAAGAAAAAGTTAAATTAAGGTTTCTGAAATTATTTTGAAAAATCACAAAAAACTTCATATCTCGAACAGTTAAAAGTTCTGAGCTGAAATATTTCGAGGCAAAGTTCGCAACTCTTGAAATTACAACTTGATGAATTAAACACTGAATTTAGACTGAAAAAATCGAAAAAAAAACTTAAACATTGCAATATACGATATAGCTTAAACGCGCCAAAATTCTTTTGTTAAACATGCAAAAATAATACGTTGAAAAAGCTTAAACATGACGAGATAGTGGAGACCGCATTTAAATATATAATAGATCGAATATTTAAACTTTCCTCCGTGTCGATAAACACCGGTTCTATATTTTTGATTATTAGTTAAATTCGAGCGAGTAAAACGAGCGAATATGTGATATCCTAGAAAAAGCTTTTATTCAACGTAGTTTTACCCCAGGACTTTCGGAGCTGGAATTAGCGCACCAATATTTTTTTTTTTGCTTTTCATTTTATGAAGACAGCCGCAGTCGATTGTCTGATCTATAATGATTTCATCCATTAATGTGTGAAAGCGATTCAGTTATCAAACTCAGACCTGTTATCTTATGCAGCACAAAAAAAATCGCACAAAAAACTAGCTTGAAAATTGCACAAAAAAAAACAAAACTTAAACAAAAAGATACTGGAACACCGATTCACAAAAATTCTACCCTTAACCAATCTTAATCTTTTTGAAGCTTCTTGATCTCTAAAATGTAGCCGTTGACCCATTTTATCAGTATTGGGCATTTTCTGGCCAAAAAGAAGCTTTTTGACGCGGCGCGTTCTTTCAGTCTCGGTGCGCTATGCTAACGACCAGGAAAACATCGCACGTCATATATCCTTGTTTCCCCGCGACGCTAACCTGGTAACTTTCTGCTGTACACTTTCCAAAAGACCTGGGACTTGCCGGGCGCACATTATATATAATTAAAATTGTAGTTCCTGCGAATCGCAGAGGCGCTATCAGTAGGCCTTAACAGTCCTGTCGAGGATAGTCCATTTGTATTATCTCCCCACATTCCAGACAGTGTTATTTCGCTAGCGAAGCTGTTTTTTGCAACTCAAGGCCGTTTTTTTTGCGTCTAGAACTTTTACGTGGTACCACTATTGCAGCCAAATTTGGTCAGGTTGTGGTAGACCTGAAGCTGGAGGTCAAGTGAGAGCTTGTCCTCACACACTATCATTGCCATGGTATGGGATCGAATACACGATCTGACGATTTCTAAGTGAACGCCTTACCACTGTGCTAAGTGCCTCCATATAATGCAAAGAAAAACAGCCAATCAAGACTGTTGGAAAACTGTCAGCATAACCACCTGCGAATTCAACTTGGCCATTAACTCGTTTGAGCTGATACCACACTGGAGAAATGATGTCGAATTTAGCACCCAGATACTTGGCGTGGTCGTATCCCTTGTTGTTCCAGGGGGTCACGTAAGCAAGCACTGTCTGCTCGTAGACGTCACCTTTCACCCCGATAGAGGTCATGTTCTGACCTAACATCAGTTCAAAGGTCAAATCTTCAGGTGCTAATTTGTCCCCTTGGGAGTTGTCAGCTGATGCTGAGAGGTTGGAAGACCCGCTGTTCTTTTTACTGCTTGAAGGATGACTTTTGTCTTTTTTTGATGATTTGTCTTTGGGCGCTAGAGTTGATCTGTTCATTCCCAATAGAACCGTGAGTAAAATGAGTGATCTTAGATAATTCATCATGCCTGAAAAAAATGCATGTCAACAACAGCCTGCTCCGAGATTTTTCATGGATCTGAAAAAGCTTCTTGGAGAAGGTTGTTTTTAAGATCTTGACTCAAGCTTCTGCACCTTCAATCAAGAAAAGACCTCTTCAGTATGTTGTTCAAATTACATTCAAGTCATACAAAAAACGGATCCTTAATATTTAACTACAGCCTTAAACAGATCGTGCTTTGTCTTTCAATGATTTCGGTTCAAAATTCAATGAAAAAGGGGAAAGGAAAAATGGAACCGGGTGGTTTTTTATTTTTACAACCTCAAATTTGGTGTCAATTTTGGTGAGTATTTTTGGTGTCATGCTGGTATCAAATGAAAGACCTCTGGTGGTAATTCAAGGTGGCTTTTCTAGTATTTTCTCGAAGGCCGATTTTCTCGACCTTTTACTTAAGGTGGACGCAATTAATTTTCCGAGCGCTCCCAAAGCACTATAGTAATTCTACAGGGTGATCCAAACCCTTGACATTTTTGAAAATGCTGTAATTTCGAACTGAATCAACGTATGAATCTGAGTTTTTTACAGGATGACAGCTGAGATGTGGAATTTTGATAGTTCATGAACAAATTTTGGATCAATTGAGCAATCTTCGGTCACGGTTGGAGGGTTCCCAGTGTCATCCGCCTCCTCAAGGTGGGACCGGCTGCGGCGAAATGAATGACATCTCCCCCTCGCCCACGGTTGGTCCTGCACTGAGCATGCCGGGGGCTAAAAAAAACCAATTGAGCTATCTCCCCGCAAAAACGGTAAACAAAAAGACGTCAGCAAACGCAAGTATATAGTTAATGTGTTCGTAGCATGCAATCAAATGACGACTGAATTTTATTTTATATGAGTATCGAGAAAAATTTCGAAAAAAAAAATTGAAATTTAGTTTTAAAAATTTCGCAAACTTTTGTTTGGGCGACCATGGCGTCATCGAGGAAAGCGAAATACTTGAGTTGGTGCTCTAACCTTGTATCTGAATAGCAAAAACGGTTCTCAGCGACACCTTAAAACTGAACGCAATAGCTCTTTTTCCCTTTAGGAGAGAAAAGTAGCTTTATATGCGTCAGTTTTATTAATTCTTTTTTCACTCTGAGTGAATTTTTTGAGCTTTGATATTGTAAACTTTGGCGTTCCACATTCGTTGGAAAACTTAGTGTATGATTTCATATCATTCAAACTACTTTCAAGTGGTTATAAACATATGTTTCAAGTACACATTGAGCTATCTCTTCCCTACGCGAATGGGGATGGGGAGATGGCTCAAATGATCTCCAATTTTAAAAAAAAAAGTTTTCAGCCATTTTTTCTATTTTCGATCACGCTATAAAACCAAACCGTTCCTTTGTCTCGTGCTCCACAGATTCAGTTAAGATGAAACTGGACACCACCACCACAGCTTTGCTATCACTTCCCCTTTGGACGGCTTGGTGATTCAGCGAAACAGGCGCTGCAACCAGAATCACTAGACGTCGCAGTTACTGAAATTGGAGCCACTTTCCACCCAAAGGAACCACGGCTGTGACCGGAGTGTGAGACCTGAACGCGACGGCGACGATGCCAACCTTCCACAGAAAGTAATGTAATCACAAGCGTTATTAAAAATCTGAACGCATTGAAATTTTAAAGACTATTACCAAAAAAAACAAGACCTAAACAGGTTGAGTTTCTTCATTAACTTATAAAAACCCTTGAAAACACTTTTGACACAGAGGCCAAGCTGAGCTTCGCACCACTTGCGATACAAAACAAAAAAATCGAGCAAAAAAACTAGATCTATCATAATTAATACGGCTAATTTTGAAATGAAAACATGCCGAGACAATACAATTGAAATTAGCATCGGAAAACAATTAACCAAGCGGTAACAAATACCTTAGCAGAAACCTTTTGTCGAAAAATAAATCAACAAGATTTAACATTTATGAAAATTCCCCGTCGCCCTCAAAACACTTAAAAAAATTATTTGCTCGTCACATGAAACAATATGACAACTAAGCCGCTGTAAAATAGCCCAAAACCCAGAAAGCCCAAAAAAAATTGAAAAAAGTTAAGTCTAATAAATAATTAAGCCCTCAAAACACAGACACGCAAACACACTTTTTTAGCTCCTCAAAGGACGCAAAATGAGGCTGATGAGCCGATACGATATAGGCCAAAATCTATCAACCAGAAAAAAAAAGAAAAAACAAGGCGATGAAAAAATCGTTGTCATGAGAAATTTGAATTATTATTTCTATTAAGATGTTTAGCATTTTGTTCAATCCTCGCGCAACTCGAAATTAGGTCACTAGGCCGATAAATTATAGGCCGGAAGAATTTGGGCAGAAAAACGTGTTTTACCGAAAAAAATAAATACGATGTCAAGGTTAAAAAAATTACAATAAGCAGCAAAGGGAAATCACAACACTAAAACAAACTATTTTGTAACAAAAATAAATTCAAATAAACGATTTTGTTGGATGGTAAAAACAAAGCCGAAACTAAGCCGACAAAAAGTAAACCGAAAACGAAGTAAACCGTAACACAATAAGGATGCATAGTGAGAGTAATAAACCAATGAGCGCAAATATACTGCATGCATGCTCGTTTACTGCATGCATGCTAAAATAGGTAGAGAAAGTTGTTGAAAGGACAAAAATTCAAGTACCGGATTGCAATACCCTTGCTATCGCAAGAGTAATAAACATTTAATTCTTGTCTTTTTTTAGACATTACAAGCTGTAGCAGACTATTGTCGATTTCTAGCGGGTTCGAGTCTCGGTAAACTAAGAGGGTGTACTTAACCTTGTGTGGGAAAAGATGGACCAAAAAATTAATGAAATTTCTTAACCAAAAAGGTTTCTCTTATACAACTAGCATAGAAGTTTAGCCAACGGACATAGCCAGCAGATGATTGGTACTGAAATTAAGGAATCCGAAACGTGATTGAACATTTGTGAAATTTCAGGACTTGGTTAGGATCTCCAATTTTTCTCCCAATTATTCCAATTAGAAAAAACTGAATCAACAGGTAGCTTTTTATTCAGCTGGGAATTCAATAATAGAAGTCCATTTTTGAGACTAGAAGTCTATCACGTTTTTCGTGACATTTGTTCTTTGACAGCGGAGTTTGCCTACCTTTTAACAAAGGATATGAACTGAACTTAGAAAGTCTATAGAAAATCATCACGATCTACATAAATTTCTTTACTACTTAGTTTAGGAGATATGGACGATTTTATGATTTCTGAAAAAATGCAAAAACTTCGAAAAAACATGGAAATCAATTACATTTTCAAATTATAAGTAGAAACATTTATTGAACCCGTGGTTGCATGCTAACGAGGGTGTAATTTAGGGTTGAGGTTCTAACGCTAAAACTTGACCTGACAGAAACTCTTAGTTTAGGATATATGGACGACTTAACAATTTTTGAAAAAATTCAAAAACTTGGAAAAAAATCTAAATCATTTTAAAATTTTGTTGTTTTTTCTTTCTTACCGGCGGTTGCCTACTTACGAAAGTAAAATTTAGGATTTTGATTAGAATGACAACACTTGACCGTCCTAATGCTCGTAGCGTAGGAGATATGGATGCATTTACGAAATTTAAAAAATTCTAAAAACATTTAAAAAAAATCTTTTTCTAATAGTGAAAAAACATGCAGAGCTAAAGTAGGCGTTTGTGGGCCATATGGCCCCGTTGTCTATCCTCTCCGAGTCTCATTTTAATAACGATGAATTGCTAAACTTATGTGATGATTTACCGGAGTAATTTATTCTTTCTTTCTTTCTTTCTTTCTTTCTTTTTCTTTCTTTACGTGATGATTTTCGAGATGATATTGTAATTAATCCCTCATTTAAAGCAATGCGAGGTAATCAAAGTTGGATTAATTCAAGTGTGAATAAACCAGCCGAATTAAAAACCTAACGAACATGAGTACATTATATACATCAGCCGTAAGTGAAGTTTTGGTTCATAAAAGCCAGCCTTTTCGTTCATTCGTGTTGACATTTGTTCGATTTTGGGACCATCAAAAAGTTGTCAGATAATTATTGTATAATTCAAATCAAAAGCTAAAGAGCATCAAAGCACGAATTTCAAAGCACCTAATCAGAATCACTCAATTGAAGGTCATCCCTTAAATCGAATCCAGTCAAGGATGAGTTTCCTGGATTCATCCGCGCCTCGACATCCATTGCGTGTTCTCTTCTCGTTTCTTGACTGCCTAGTATAAATTGCACTTTATTCGCTCCCTCTTTCTCTTTAGTATCCTTTTCGCCGTTATCCGAGGACGAGTCAGAGTCGGATCCCGAACTGGATCCGGACGAGTCCGAATCACTTCCACTGCTGCTTAGCCTGCTTACTCTTCCCATCAGATTTTTCTCCTCTTTAGAGCTGCTTTCTTTTGTCTTTTTTACCTTTTCCTTAACCATTGGCAAAGAAGCACTAGCCATATCGTCTATGATAACATTCTGATTCTGATTATAACTTTGTGATTGGTTCGAAACGCCAAAACTCGACGAATGATGACTAAATAAAGGCAAGTTATTCGATTCAGTTGATAAACTTTTATGCGGAAGAGAAACAGCGTTGTTGGCCTCCGAAGCACCAAGTGTAGCATCGTGAACTTTGGATGATTTGGGGGATATGTTAAGTTTACTAGTTTTTTCAGACTTCTCAGCACGCTCCTTTTTCGTCTTCAACCTTTTCGTTTTTCCTCTGGCTTCATTCTTTTCTGGCTCTGTCGACTTCGCCACTGGCATAATATTTGATGAGGACGAATCGTCCATTGCCTCTGGTAATCCAGAACAAACCGTCGGATCTTCATTTGTTTTCTGAGAGGCTCCAGTCTCGTCCGTTGCGTTGTTACTATTCTGTGACTGCTGCTGAAGTTGTCTGTTCAAAGCCGCTATCTGAGCCGGCGTTCTTTCCTTGCGTGTCTTCTTCACCATTATGACAGACTCAAGCTTTTCCAAAGTCACTTCGCCCGTCTCGTGGTCGATTATGAGCACGCATTCCTTCTGAGCTGGTTTTTTGTTTCCTCTATAAGAAACAGACCAAGGTCAATTATGAAACAAAATAAAGCGAACGATGAGAAAAGTTCTAGCTACTCACTGAAACATTTCTTCTCCCCCAATTTTGCCTGACCAAACAAATGAGGCCATATCATCGAAGATTGTTAAAATTCAAACAAACTTTACGATTGAGACTTTTGAAAACACTGCCAAATTAAAATAAAAAAAGAGTTACTGGTTTTACAAGAGCATTTGGTACTTTATATTGGGACGAAGAAACACCAGGTAAACGAGTAAGTTGATTAAAAGACATGCGGTTCAAAAAGTTAATTGACAATTTTTCGTACTGATCAAATAGTAACCTGGGACATTTGAACTCACTTGTAGACTACATCTTCTGTGATGACCTCTGGCACTGGTTCCTCGCCAGCTCCAGCTGCGAACTGGGCGACTGTCTGGGGGAGACTGATGGTGACCTCCCGATCTGACTGAACGACGACCTCTCCTGGCAAGTGGCGGGCGAGAGAGGCCGGTTTGAAATCATATTTCACAGTGTGGTACTTGTCTCCACCACAAGAGGGCGACTGGGAACTTGGTTTGGACTCAAAAGACGAGCCAAACTTCAGGGGTAAAGTGCGACCTACTAAGTCGTCCATTCATTCATTCACTCAATCATCAATCATTCTGAAAATCGAAAAACAAACTAAGAAAGCAGATAAAAACTTTGAAATGATAAATCAATGAATTAAAAAGAGACGCGTTCATAAAGTTTTTCAAACTAAAAGACAACAGAAAAGAACACATTTAAAATAAAAATTTTTACTTTGAGTTTTTGAGAAGTTCAACAAAGTCTTTGTTGGACAAAGCCCCTTTATCAGAAGTATTCTCAAGAGACAAAGAAGTAGTATCCATAGCTTCGTTTTTGAGAACACTAGCAGATAGTTCTGAAGAATTGGTCCCTTTTATTGGCTGAGCAAATTTAGTTTTTGCAGAATTTGCCAAGCTGCGAGGAACCAGTTGGATCTGCGATCGACCTTTCCCTCTGTAATCATTTGTTGTAGTAGAAGATGGAATGGCTGGTTTGCGGAATTCATTTTTCTTCGAGACAGCATTTGATCCAGGTGCTTTTCTCGAAGGAGGGTTGCTAAAAAGCAAGTTAAATGTTCAGAAGGAAAAAAATTAGCTTACCTAAGCTGGTATTACAAGTTGACAAGCGTAGAGTTAACGACAGTAGACTAAATCAAGTATTAATATTTTTATAATCATTAACTAGACACTACACAATTTTGACACATTGATATGCGGGCTTTAAATTCGTTGTTCATTGATTTCATAGATCAAGCAATCAGTCAGATTAGAAAACAAATAATGGATCGGTAACAACATATTTCGAGAAAGACCCAAAATGAAGGAAATTTCAATTGGCACAAGTTAAATATTAAGACAGTTCGGAAACTTCATATTCAAAAAAATAACTCAGACGAGAAGCGGAGCTTCGAATCACTTGCGCTGTTTGATTATAGAAATCGTCAGAAAAATCCGAAACATGCATATCACAAAAGATCATCCAAACCAATTCCGGAGACTCGGCTGCAGTAAATGGCTCAAAAACACAAATCGAAAGAGACAAAAAAGCCATTTACGGGATATACGATCCCTGAAAGGAAAAGAAAACACGCCCAGAAAGTAATCAATTAAATGACTAGTTCAGTATCAGTGGGAAATCAGATTTTCTTAAAGAAATGCAAACCACACGAAACAAATCAATTAAATCGCAAGTAGCCAGCGACGAACGAAAAGTAAAAACAAAAAATCCGATGTTTAACTGAGAAAAAAAAACAACAGATGCAAACTTACTACAATCACTCTTTCAATTTGCTCCAAAATTTTTATGACACGTTGTAAACAAAAAACATTCAAAAACACCATACGAATGACATCAATCAAAAAACAATAACAAAGCTAAGTCTGAAAAAACTGGGAAAGCTTTCAAAAGTTAGAAAACAAATTCAGATCAAACAATCCCCTCTTTGAACTGCAGCGCCTTCAAAGAGGAGTGAAGAAAAGTCATCAGAGAAGATCAAGATTAGCTTCCCTGTCACATGGATTTTTCTTCAAATTCTATCAAGATAATGCAGGCAAGGCCATCAAACTACTGATGAAACAAAAATACGAAAAAGAACTTTGATCGACAAGCCATTTGATACTGATTGAACTTTCACTTCAGTGACAGATTTAAATTTTTTGAGCACAAGTTTAGTTCAACGAGAGTTTGACCTCTCAGAACATCACATAAAGATAAAAACTAACCGGACAACTGACCTACTTAAGCTAAAAGCTGAAGCTAAATAAAAACGAAAAACGAAGGAGCGAAATCAGCGTAGCCCAACGATCAAACTTACTAGATAAAAATTCAACAAAGGCTGAAAAGCGCAACCTTTTGGAACAAATCGTGGATCAAGTGAGTACTTATAACAAAACATATGGGCATTAGCACTACCACGAAAAATACTGATCTCAAAAACAAATGAGCCGGACAAAACATTTGAAATCAAACCAATTCGTCCGATTGTTTTTTCTTCTTTGATTCAAGATAATGCATGCAATGTCATCACATAACTGATAAAAATTTCTAGAAGAGTCCAAAAAAACTTTTGCTACTGAAAGACCGTTGATTTCAGCGAACATTTTGATTCACCGATCAGAAGAAAAGTTCATCATGAATTCGAGAAAAAGCCTCTGAGATCATCACACTAAAAGATGACAATTTAATTCAAACACTTGACCAGTTTGAATCAGACGCTGAAGCTAACTAACCCTGACAAAGAAACAGATGAAAACAAAACGATTTTTAAATCAGCTTCAAAAATTCTTTGCTGCTGACTGATAATTGATATAGAAGCTCGAATGGTTCATCTTTTGCATTACAAAACCCTTGAAAATAAAAAAAAGAAGAAATGAAATGACATTAGAAAAAACCTATGCTTATCAGCACTAAAACAAACTTTCCTAGCTTGAATTAAAAAAGCTGATGAAAAATGCAGAACTTCATAACATTTTACAATTTGCAAAAGAGTTACACTCATGAGACTCAAATGAAAGCAAACAAACTGTCACTGTTTTTTTTTTTCATTGAATCAAGATAAGGAATGCAATGCTATAACATAACTGATAACAAGTTTCTAGAAAAAGCTCGAAAAAAACTGGTACTGCGAACCGTTGACTTCAGCGAACAATTTGATTTAACCGATCAGAAGATAAGTTCGTCAAGAATTCGAGAAAAAGCCTCTGAGATCATCACACTAAAAGATAACAATTTAATTCAAACATTTGACCAGTTTAAAACAGACGCGGAAGCTAACTAAACCTGACAAAGAAACAGATGAAAAACAAAAAGATTTTAAATCAGCTTCATTAAAAAAATCTTTGCTGCTGGCTGATGTTTGATATAGAAGCTCGAAGGGTTCATCTTTTGCATTACAAAAGGCTTATGGAAACCAAAAAAGAAGAAAGGAAATGGCGTCAGAAAAAAACTATGTTATCAGCACAACAACAAACTTTCCTAGCCTGAACTTGAAAAGCTGATAAAAAATGCAGACTTCATTACAATTTGAAATGTGCTTAAAAAAGTTACACTCATGAGACTCAATTGAAAGCAAACCAAATCGTCAGACTATTTTTTCTTCATTGAAAAAAGGCAATGCCTGCAATGTCGTCACATATCGGCACAAAAACAAATTTTCCCAGCCTGAATTTAAAAGATGATAGAAAATGCAGCATTTTATAACATTTTAGAGTTTTCAAAAAAGATTTTTGATCATGAGACTCAATTGAAAGCAAACCAAATCGTCGGGCTGATTTTCCTTCATTGAATAAAGATAATGCATGCAATGTCATCACAAAACTGATGAAAAATTGCTGCTGAAAGACCGTTGACTTCAGCGAACAATTTGGTTGAACCGATCAGAAAAAAAGTTCATCATGAATTCGAGAAAAAGCCTCTGAGATCATCACATTAAAAGATGACAATTTAATTCGACAATTTCATTCAAACCATCGACCAGTTTAAAACAGACGCTGAAACTAACTAACCCTGACAAAGAAACAGATGAAAAATAAAACAATTTCAAATCAGATTCATTGCAAAAGTAGCTGCTGACTGATGTTTGATATAGAAACTCGAATGATTAATCTTTTGCATTACAAAAAACTTATTGAAATCCAAAAATAAAAAATGAAATGAAGTATAAAAAACCTATGCTTATCGGCACTACAACAAATTTTCCAAGCCTGAATTAAACAAGCTGATCAAAATGCAGCATTTTATAATATTTTGAATTTTCAAAAAAGATTTTTAATCATGAGACTCAAGTGAAAGCAAACCAAATAGTCAGACTGATTTTCCTTCATTGAATAAAGATAAGGCATGCAATGTCATCACACAACTGAAGAAAAATTTCTAGAAGAGTTCAAAAAAACTTTTGCTTCTGAAAGACCGTTGACGTTGATTTCAGCGAACATTTTGATTTACCGATCAGATGAAAAATTCATCATGAATTCGAGAAAAAGCCTCTGAGATCATCAAACTAAAAGATGACAAACGAATTCAAACTTTTGACCAGTTTAAAAACACACTGAAGCTAACTAACCCTGACAAAGAAACAGATTAAAAACAAAACGATTTTAAATCAGCTTCATTGAAAACGTCTTTGCTACTGACCGATGTTTGATACAGAAGCTCGAAAGGTTCATCTTTTGCATTACAAAACACTCATGGAAATCAAAAAAAGAAGAAATGAAATGACGTATAAAAAACCTATGCTTATCGGCACAACAACAAACTTTCCAAGCCTGAATTAAACAAGCTGATAAAAATGCAGCATTTTATAACATTTTGAATTTTCAAAAAAGATTTTTAACCATGAGACTCAAGTGAAAGCAAACCAAATAGTCAGACTGATTTTCCTTCATTGAATAAAGATAAGGCATGCAATGTCATCACATAACTGATGAAAAATTTCTAGAAGAGTTCAAAAAAACGTTTGCTTCTGAAAGACCGTTGACGTCGATTTCAGCGAACATTTTGATTTACCGATCAGAAGAAAAATTCATCGTGATTTCGAGAAAAAGCCTCTGAGATCATCAGACTAAAAGATGACAAATGAATTCAAACATTTGACCTGTTTAAAACAGACGCTGAAGCTAACTAACACTGACAAAGAAACAGATGAAAAATAAAACAATTTCAAATCAGATTCATTGCAAAAGTAGCTGCTGACTGATGTTTGATATAGAAGCTCGAATGATTAATCTTTTGCATTACAAAAAGTTTATTGAAATCCAAAAATAAAAATTGAAATGACGTATAAAAAACCTATGCTTATCGGCACTACAACAAACTTTCCAATCCTGAATTAAACAAGCTGATAAAAATGCAGCATTTTATAATATTTTGAATTTTCAAAAAAGATTTTTAACCATGAGACTCAAGTGAAAGCAAACCAAATAGTCAGACTGATTTTCCTTCATTGAATAAAGATAAGGCATGCAATGTCATCACACAACTGATGAAAAATTTCTAGAAGAGCTCAAAAAAACTTTTGCTTCTGAAAGACCGTTGATGTTGATTTCAGCGAACATTTTGATTTACCGATCACAAGAAAAATTCATCATGAATTCGAGAAAAAGCCTCTGAGATCATCAGACTAAAAGATGACAAACGAATTCAAACTTTTGACCAGTTTAAAAACAGACTGAAGCTAACTAACCCTGACAAAGAAACAGATTAAAAACAAAACGATTTTAAATCAGCTTCATTGAAAACGTCTTTGCTACTGGCCGATGTTTGATACAGAAGCTCGAAAGGTTCATCTTTTGCATTACAAAACACTCATGGAAATCAAAAAAAGAAGAAATGAAATGACGTATAAAAAACCTATGCTTATCGGCACAACAACAAACTTTCCAAGCCTGAATTAAACAAGCTGATAAAAATGCAGCATTTTATAACATTTTGAATTTTCAAAAAAGATTTTTAACCATGAGACTCAAGTGAAAGCAAACCAAATAGTCAGACTGATTTTCCTTCATTGAATAAAGATAAGGCATGCAATGTCATCACATAACTGATGAAAAATTTCTAGA